ATTTATATTGTTTGGTATACTTCGTTGGGTTCTGAAGAAAACTTATCTCTTGTATGGAAAAGCTAATAATAGTCGTTATGGAACCGTTACAATAGATAACTATTTAATTGTAATATTTATTAACCGTTTCATTGAAGCGTGATTTCGAGTAGTAAACGAAGACGTATTTAATATTTTATATTGAAAAATTAATGTAAGTACTGATTACAAAGATACAAATAATGGGTACTAGGAACATGAATGGAAATATTATTTTTTTACAATGTCAATTACGTTTGTTTATCTCCTCAAATTCAACTTTCTTGTCTTAAAATCTAGCTTAAAATAGTTCGATGTGAATGATTTTATTATCTCTACTTTTTTCACAAAATAGATTGGTGTAATGTCTGTCTTTTCGAACGTAGGTGTTTCTTATATATTTTGCAATGAAGTTGTTATTAGCAATTAAAAAAAATACCTTGACATAAAAAATCGATATCAGGTTATGAACCTTCGTTACGGAAGCATCCAACACAAATTTCACCCATTTTTACAATATTTTTCCGTCCACACGTTGTGTGTTTCCGTGGAAAAAAATATTCTTTCATCTGAGGGTTTGAGCTTTTGATCGCCAGCAATCATGGATGCCTTCGAAGTCAAAAGGCCTTATACTTCAGTATTCCAATTAGGTTGGCGTTTCTGTGATTTTTCAAATTGCAAATAATCATATTAAATGCAACATGACGTGTTTAAATAAAATATAACAATGAATGAATAATCAAAGATTTATCTAATTGGATGAAAACGATGCAATAAGACGATTTGTTTTTATCTTTCCAAATGGAAAAAGCTACGAATTATTTTCATTTAGTTATGCGCTTTCGAAATGTATAACAAATGCTTGAATCATCGTCAGAAAATAGATATGATGATAATAGACAACATCATTTTATAAACGTACAAATGATGCATCCAAAACAAAGCCATTGAGAGAATAGAGATTGTGTACAGTGTACAAAGTTTGTACTACAAACCGGTTAAGAAAATTTAATTATCCCTTTGGCTTGTGCTGTTGCATTGCGTCTGCATACATTTTACATGCTTATGTACGTAATATTAATTTGCGTGTAGATAAGACACACACACACACTCATGTCTATCGGCGTTTTGTTGTGTTTTTCTATCAAATAGAAAATCGTTGAAAGCGAGTTCAAATGGGTGAAACGAAAATTTAGCAAAAGAGCGTTGCTTTTACAAATTCCCATATGGGAATGAAGTCGTGCAAAGGACACAATGTCGATGTTTGCCTTGCCAAATATCCCATAGGTTTAATAATTTTAATAAAACCAAACATGTAGCCGTTTGTCTCTTATTTACCGGGCAGTAACTTCGTTTCATTTTTCTACTCTCTCTCGATTGTTTGTTGTGAGTCTCAAGGCATACATTTTGGGCCAACGTCAAAAACCACGTCACGTACGGATAATTACACATGTGTATCATGTAAACTTAGCTCAAGGTGAAGCACACACATACATATCCGTGTCTGACTCGAATAGAATGCATTTCGGCAATATCCATTTAATGAATTCCACAAAAGAAGCCAAAAGTATGCGCCAACTTCATATACTTTAATCAACTTTCAAACCGGTGTATTGTGCCAACGGCAAAATATTTTCTTCATCTAATTTGAGTGAATTGTGGCCGAAGCGCACAAACTAACATGCAAAAAGCCAAAAAAAAAAACTGTTTGGAAAACAACAACTCGACTCGATGTTGTCGTTCGACAAGACAAAGTGACACACACATATATACACAAACACGTGAAGAATAACGAATGAGCCACGGGACAAGTGAACAAACATACACAAAATACGAAAACAATAATACAAACTGAATATTTCAATGCCACACGAAAACGGATGTGAAAAAGTTTAGATTTCATTGATTTTTACATTTGAAGCGCACCGAACAAAATACGCCTTGAGCTGTCGCACAACAATTTTCTCTCTTGCTTTCTCTTTTCCTTTTTATAACTTAAAAATTTCGTCGAAATCTTTCTCTTCAGTTTATTTTCATCGATATACTTCGGTACGTAGATGGCATTCGTTCTAGTTCCCGTCTAGCCAAGTTTATGGTGTGTCTCTTGGATGACAAACTTCGATAAATGATTGCCTCCCGAGTAATATCGAATGATTTAACAAACTCTGAGCGCATCGACACTTCATGCTTTTTTTCTTACATTCGTTTCACATACTGTAGCATGTGAATTTTGGGATCGAACGATGCACACATATTATTTGCTCATTTTTCATCCGATCAACGCAGAAGACAGTCGTCGAATGAATTTCGTTTAAACAAATCAACACGATTACATTCTTTTACGTCGTCGGAAAAAGAAGTTGAGATAAAGATCGAAACCACGCAAGGGATATTAGAGTTCGTTAGTGAGAAATTCGTATATTCGAATCAGAATGAAATCAAATAAATAAACTTGAAATGAATTCACCTTCGACGGCGAAAAAAAATGTAATCGAAAAAATATTTCAAATCTGCCCCTGTCACGTGATTGTAAAGTTTGCGTCTTTCAGTTAATAATAATATCTCTGAATCGAAGAAGAAGAAGGAGAAGAGAAAAAAAGCTCGGAAAATATTTTCATTGATTGTGTGTAGTAGGTAGGTGATGAATATTGAGAAAATTAAATTGAAAATGTCAGTTCAAAAATGACTTCATCTATTATTCACGCTGACATCGGGTATTATTTTGAGTCTACGTGATGTTATGATGCGACTGCAAAAGAGTTTCTTTTTCCACTGTTTATGTGTGAGTGCATTTCGGCATTGATTTGCATTGTTCAACTTGCCGTCCCTGAAATCAGCGTTGTGAGAATTGGTTTGACTTTCCCATCGGAATGTAAATATTCACATTTTTTCATCCTCGTTGGAGTAAAACAACGCGCTGAACGAAATGAGAAATTTGAAAGTGGTGACAAATATTGCAACACGTTGATCCATACCTCTCTCCGCACATGCAGCTGAAAGCAATGTGTGCGTATGCGCGCATTCGAATCGATGATCATGTCATGCCGAAAGCGAAGCACACGACAACACCGAATGAAAATGTGAGAAATTGGTATTCACATTTGAGCCAACACTTGATTAATATTATTATTAATAATGTTGCTGCATACGATGAGAGAGTGTGGTGTCTTTTGTCAACGAGTTCGTTTGCATGGAAAATGAGACGACAATGCACACGCATCGAGATTATAAATAAAATGTATTTCACAACTTGATGTCACGTACTCTATCTCTGTACCTCCCTCCTTCCCTTTCTCTCTGTCCCTCTCTCTCTATCTCTCTCTCTCTCTCTCTTTCTATCTATATCAACTGTTTCGTTCCTCATCCGGTATATCTACTTTTCGGTGCATTTTCGGTTTCTGCAACAAACTCGTCACACATTTATTTACAAGAATATTAATGACGAACATGTTTAACACAACACGCAGCACAACAGCATAATCACGGCTTAAATTTTATTGAAAAATAATCCAAATACGTCATCATAACTTGCCACATACACAAAGTTAATTAAGTTGATTGGATAAGAAGTGGTCGTTATCACTTAATCCTCCTCTCCCCCCCACCATCCTTCTCTCTTTCTCTTTTCCGGAAAACAAAAGCTTCCCCACAACTATGTATGTTTTTATGTAGGCTAAAATTATATCAAATTTCTGTCTCTTCCTTCTCGTATACGAACAATGAAAAACGGTCGAAGCGCACATAACGCTGTGTGTTGAACTCACTCTTGTTGTTTTTCGGTTATGACATAAATTTGAATAAAAATACCCCGGCAGAATGAAAATGTGCCATGAATGAATGAATGAATGGAAGAAAAACAATAAGCGAAGAAGAAAAAAGAGAGGAGAATTTGAGAGATGGAATCAGTGGAAAATGTTTGTTGTGTTGTCATAATGCCAATTACACGCAGATATACATACTTTACGCGTGTTCCGTTTCTGTTTTGTTTGTGTGTACGAGCCGAGCGGAGCGGGAAAGAGAGTAGGAATCGCATTGCTTTCTGATTGGAATTGCTAATTTATTTTGACTCAATTCAAACCACCGAGACAACATTCTGTGCAAATAAACAACAATTCTCGGTACTCTGTGATGCTTTTGTCATTTTGGATTTGGTGTTCTGTTGCGGATGCAGCAGCATCATCACCACCACAAACAACAGCCACGAATGAGTTTTATTATTATGCATGTAAGGTTGGTCGTTGAGTTTCCAATTTGATTACTAATTTCATTGTTATGTATTTTGAGTACGGTTTATTTTTAATGCAAAAAACCAACTTTGTGCTCCGTTTGGTCATGCTTTTGTCGATGCCAATTCGGTACGTATGTGCATGTTTTTGTGCGTGCCTCTTTTCTCTCATTGCCTGCATTTCAAATGGATCTCTGATCAAAATACATCTCTTGCATTTTGTGTGCGCTCGATGTGGCACAATATAAACATCGGACGGATTTATTTCAACTTGATTTTACTTCTGGTGAAATGACTTGATACTTGAGATTGTGCCATCGAAATTCAGTCTGAAAACTACATCAAGCTCCACCACCGAATTCAATTGTCAATGTATAGTATTTCCATTTATGATAAATTTTTTTGTGTTCGCTTACTGACAAAAACACGCGTTCATCTTGTCGTCCGATTTATATTATTAAAACTGTATGGATATATTTATTAGATGTTATTTTCATCAAACGAACTGAATCACATCAGAATATCTTCTTTTCTCGGTGTATGATGCGGAAATCATTTTCGCGTATTAATATCACATTGTTTACTCACTGGAACAAAAGACTTCGATTGCCAATCATTTGATCGGATTTCATTAAATAAAAATCATTTTGTCCCTCTTTATATTAAGAAAAAAATTATGAGAATTTTCTCAATCTTTAATATTTATTTCTTCTTTTTTTATTTTCTTTAATATCGCTGGATGAATTTGGATGATCAGGACCAGGTTAGTGATTTTTTCTTGCAAAATACAAATTGATTTTTCATAAGCGTTTCTCACAATGATTTCGATTTTTTTTTTCGCTAGCATTTTGGGGTTTGATCAATCCACAATGGAATATGTGCACAAAAGGACGACGCCAATCACCGATTGATATCGAACCAGACAAATTGCTATTTGATCCGTATCTTCGACCTCTTCACATTGACAAACATAAGGTAAAATTCATAAATTACCTGACAAAATGGTTATTTATTAGGTTAACAGGCTGAAAAACGGTCGAAAAGAATCACTGAACCACACCAGACTTTATTCAACATAAATAATATTATTATCATTTTTATGATTATTGTGTACATTGTGGACGCACGCACGTCCACTGCTGAAATCATCGAACGAAATTTTTTTAAAGGGATGAACAAACAAAAATATTCAACAAAAGTATTTTGTTTGGAAAACTTATTCTTTTTTTCGCAAACGAAAATTTACATGTTCGATACACAGGCAAGCCGATGGGCATATATAAAACACACCGAATGGAATAACTCATGGATTTTGATTCAATCGACAAAGTGAAAGAGATCTATATAATTTATATGCATGTGCACGTTTTCAATATTCTGTCTCTTCTTTTTGCATGTCGATTCGTTTTCTATTCGTGTATCTATCTTATGTTCGAATCAAAACATAAATTCTCCATTTGGCAGAGGGAAATAAACATTGTGCAACGTTCGACTTACAAGCAGCACAGCGACGATTTACGATACGAGCAAAAAGCGAGGGGGGAAAGTTAATATTAAGATGGTGTCTCGAAACGAAGAGAGACATCCGGCAAACATGAATATGAAGTGTTTCGCACAGTGCATTGCACTTCAGAGAATGCAAAAATGAAAACGAATCGATTATCGGAATGTGATGGGCGAGCAAAAAAAAAAATATAATCATAATAGTAAAATGGATAGAAATATTCTCGCCCAGTCGTTCAGAAAAACACTTTTCGAATCGTTTACTTCTTGGCTCAAGAGCGCTTTGCCTCACACTTGACGTCGAAAATAGTATAAAATTTCCAGCAAACATGTTAACTCTTTTGCTGCCGTTTTGTTGCTTTCGTTGTTTATTCTTTTACATCGAGATGAGCATACAAATAAAAATCGCATATATATTTTTTTTTTGTAGCGACGAAGAAAACTTTTGAATATTTGAATGTTTTGGCGATTGTGTATGCATTCAACGATGCTAAAATTGATTTTGATCTGCCTTCGTCACAACGTTCGCTTGCTGTGGAATTTTTCCAATACATGAAAATGCATTTTTCTATGGAACGCACTCGAAATTCCGTAAATGCTGTGAATGATCTAATACGTAATGGTAAGGAAAGAAGTGACGATTTGAGGAAGACCCACAGAATGGATTTTGCTATAGAAAATGTGCCATTTTTCACAAGTGAAAACAAGCGCATATTTAAAAATCCAAGAACCATTATGAGTACAAAAGCGTATATCCAGTTTTTGTTATGAAATTTATGGATTTGGTGTATTGTATCGTCGTCACCTACGAAACTTCAACGGCCATCAGCATATAAATCATTCGGCATAAAAAGACTTTGTTCGAGAAAGTTTTCGTAAGACGTGGAAATGAAAAAATATACGGCAAAAAAAGAAATAATAACAAAATGCTTAAGAGTGACGACGCCATATACTCGAACTCTGACCTGTGATGGTCAACCATTGATCCGAAAAAATCGTGTATTCTTGCTACAAATAGCTACTTACATGAATTATATGTATTTTTACGAAGGATTGCATGCATCATCACTACAAAGGTACAAAAGCAGCACTTTACACCAGAAAAAAAAGCAAAGGCACTTTTTTACCTTTAAAAAAGCTGGCCTTTTTATTTATTTACATTTTCTGTTTTGACATACATACAAAATATTCCATCCGCACGAACATTTATCATATTTGTAGAAGTAGGCTTATTAGGTCTGTCGACCGAAACACAAAACATGAGACGAAAAGGAATAACAGCGGGGAGAAAACAATACAAACTTTGAAGGAAATAATTTTTCATGCAAATACTGTTTTTTTGTTTGGCAAGAGAGCGTTTTTTTTCCTTCCTCATCGTTTCCTTTTCGCTTGCACTTCAAAACCATTTTCACAGTCGCGTAAAAGTAAACAAAAGTCTGGATGGGCAACAGTGAAGTTTGCCGCCTTTTCAATCCATTACGTTTGTTATTTTTGTGCATTTTTTGTCTCTGTATGTTTCAGGTTTCGGGTGTACTACAAAATACAGGCCAATCGCTCGTGTTTCGAATTGATAAAGATACAAAACAGCATGTTAACATATCCGGGGGTCCGTTGGCTTATCGCTATCAGTTTGAAGAAATTTACATTCACTATGGCATCGACAATAGTCTAGGATCCGAACATAGAATACATGGCTATCATTTTCCAGGCGAGGTAAGTACATTACTGACCTAAGTCGGCACCCATTGAAAATACGGATTATTATTTTTTTCTTCTTCGTTGGTCTGCTTTTTTTACTCAAGCAATTTAATAGTGTTCGACTGAGGGAAAAAACATGGTTTTTATTCTTTGTCGGTCGACCTTTCGCCAATTACCATCCCCCCAAACAATGGTCATGCATAAAAGACTGATGAAAATTCATATTTCCATCTTTTTGATCAGTTAGATTGGAATAAAAGCAGTGATGAGCACATTAGCTGGCTAATTTGCCATCACTGTGTACACCGGCTAACGAATGCGTAAGCCAGCACTAACACACGTCAGGAGAATTGGACGTTTTCACACGCATACTATCATACACAGTCACACAGACAGTGTAGACAGTTAGCTGGCTAACGATTGGTGTACACCAAATGTTGGTATACACCGAGGCTAAGACAACGCTGGCTAACGCAAAACCATCACTGAATAAAAGAATGGGGTGAACACGCATATATCACATTCGATATTTTGATGGAGTTTTTTTGAATTTTAATTTTCCCTAACGCTCATTTTGAACCGTTGATATGGTCAACTACTTCATTATATTACACTTTTGTCATGCATATATGGAAAAATCACACACTTTTAATCTTTGACATCGATTTATATATTGCTGTATATTGCATTTTGAATATGCATGCAGATGGTTTTTATTGTGTCATGAGATTGACCATTGGAGACAATGAAAATGCTAAATTGAGGTTAAACCACTTGCGGTGTTTTGCATTCAAATAACACATGTACATGTATACTGACAACAAATTCCGATGACTTTCTGTTTTTTTCACATTCCATTGCACCATTGCGGGCTTAAACGCTTCGAATGTAAACATTTCGGTCTGAATGTTTGTCTATATGTTGAATCCAAGGGACATTTCTTGAAAATAGTTTGAATGCCACATACAAATATTTGACAGAAATGCATCAACGGCAAATATATACAAAGAAATGATGATAAATGTGAAGATGATGAAGAAACCACAATACCCGTTCCACATTTGTAGCATGATCGATAAATGCTAATCGACATAGTTGAACTTTTTGTTTCGACAATCATGTTGAAACCAATATACACGAATTGATTTATGCAAAGATGAGCGAATCGATTTGTTTTCCAATGGATTTTCAATTAAGCATCCATTCTTTATGCCACAGTTGGTTTAACACTTGAATCCAATTTTTCTCTAATCCGGTTTTAAACGATTCAAAAGCCTTGGTAAATTAAATTGAAACTTTATTTTTTTTTTCATCTTTCTCTCTCTCTCTTTATCACTGCAGATCCAATTATATGGCTTCAATAAGGAATTGTACCATAACATGTCTGAAGCACAGCACAAATCGCAGGGCATAGTTGGCATTTCGGTTATGGTCCAAATAGGCGAAACACCAAATGCCGAACTTAGAATAATCACTAGTACATTTAATAAGGTTTTATATAGAGGTAAGTACAAAATACGTTCTATATCGATACAACGACAACCATTTTCTGGTGTGAGTGAGTGTGTGTGAATGATGCGTACAGGGCATGTGCATTAGATTAGTCAATTTGCATATATTTCGATTTTTGGATAGGTACCAATTTGTCGATGGTGCATACGGTGCAGTGTACTGAGTTTTGTTGATATCGTAATACTCAAGTGATGCTGCATTTTGCTTGCACACATATTCAATAGTCTTTTATTCAATTATCACAGAACATTAGACCGAATGCATAGGTGCTTGAGCATCAAGGTGTGTTTTGAGACATAAAATCAATAATTTTGGTTTCATTCCATTGAACCGACACATTGAATGTTGATGATGTGCCAGCCATACAAAATGCCAATAAATTTTAAATGAAGAACATTTAATGCTGATTAAGTAATGTCTATTTGCGTTTAGATAGATTCAAATAAATTCTACGGCGTTTAAGCCCATTCTGAAGCCAAACGATTGTGTTTTATTTTTCAAACACATGTAATTGACAATGCAATCAAATAAATTCACATTTAGACACATAATCTCACGTAATAATTGCATGCCCTTTGCATAATCTACCTGCTTATCAACATTTCACGTAGAATCGTTTACATTTGCATTTATCACATTTTGGCTAATGGGACCATTTTCATACAACACATATTCTACACACAATTATACTTTCTCATGTGTATGAGTGATCTCTACATAAGCGCGGTTCAAATATCTTCGTATGTCATATCGACGCTTCGTCTCTTTTGTCAAGAAAGACGCTTTCGAAAAATAAATTGATTGAAATTTCGCTTTTGATTTTGTTTAAATTATTTACCCACATAGTAACTATGATTCAAATAAATTAATTGCCAATTCATTGTGGAATTTTTTTAAACTATTTTTTTCTTGGAAAATCAATCTTATTATATTTATAAAGAAACTCAATTAAAATGTACAATAATCAATGACATTTCAGCATATTGTAAATATATCCATTTGGTTATAACGATACGAACATGAATATTTGATCATATAATCTCAATTTCATGTGAAACTATATGCAATTGCACTTCACAATTTGAATTTTAAGATACTTTTAATGCAATAGCTCACTTCATATTCTTCGAATGTGGGAAACATGTTCATGGAACTTTTGAGGTTTCCTTCCAATGCAAAACCAATGAACCAAAGGCACATTTTATCCAAATTGGTTTGAATACTTTAAAATTGTTTAGTTACAACCGCAAGTTGTTCCATCGATACAGTATACTTACATTGTGTCAATAATATTAACATTTATATTTATCTGAAATAACTTTAAAATGCCATTTAATTCAGCAGAAATCAGGTTAAAATTGTTACAATTTTCAGTGAGCAAAATTCAAAACTGTTGCGATCTGCATGTACACTCTACTGAAAAATACTTAACCATTCCACCAAGAGTGAGTGTACCTTGTTATTTAAAATAATTGAAACAAGTGACATAAAATGCAATACAATTCAAACCGATTTATTTCGTATGTTTCGCGGTCGATGTCAAACATGAATAATAAATTTGGAAATTGGTAATTTTAAAAATTAAATACATTGTTTCATAGGAAACGTACAAAAAAAAAACCACAATCACACGTCATTTCTAAAGGTCTTCAAACAGAAAAAAACCGAAAATCGAAATGAATCATGATTACTTATTGGCGTAAATATGCGTCACAATATAGTGCAAAAAAAGGTCGACTTATTACAACTAGAATTTTTTGTTATTTTTTTTTCTCATTGATATCGAAGAATCAGTATCAATTGAGTTGTGCATCTTTCATAAGTTCATTACTTGATTGTGTCCACTGGTTTTTGATTGGAGCTATTGTTTGGTTTTGAGTCACCGAATCGTACGTCGATGTCGTAGTCGAGCCCGTTGTAATTGCCTTGAGTTGATGATGGTGTTACTGTCGGTTCACTGACACCCGGCACAATCGGCTGGTTATTATTGGTAATATCAGTGTCATTGTTGGTCGCTATTGCTGCATCGTTTCCATTATAATTATTGTCATTATTCTTGTTATTCGTTGCGAATTGACTTGTGGTGGCATCGGTTGGACCTGTTTGTTTGATTCGATATCATTGTTTACATTAAACATAAAATACATGAATATGTGCAATTTGTGCATGTGAATCAATTCTATTTTGGTCATATGCAATAAGAAAGAAAAAGTACTCGCAAACAACATCATTACCTGCTGCTTCACTTGTATATTGAGGTTTATTGTCAGCGTTGAAAATGCTTGGCGTGCTCGTGCTCAGACCACTTGGATAGAATACTGTATTTGCATCAAGCGGTCGAATGGTATTTGTATCGTATGTTGATTCCGATGTCGGAAGTGGATCGGCTGGCAAATTTGTTGGATTGTTCACTGAATTGTTTGAATCATATCCCAAATTGTTATTATTATTATTGTTTTCAAATGTATTCGAAGGAATGTAGCCACCGTTAAATGTATTGGAATTTTGATTGCCGAAATTTTGTGGATTGAACGGAAAATTTGGATTAAAATTAAAAGGACTAATCATAGTTGGGTTGAATGGAAGCGGATTGGTGATCGAAGGCACTGGATTGTTTATATTTGGAATGAATGGCATTGGATTGTGGTTCATGCTTGGATTGTATGGAATCGGTGGGATTGACATTGTATTTGTATTAGCCATACCATCTTCTTCGGGCTTATGATTGCAATCCGGTGTATGCTTGTGATGCGGATGATGATGAGGATGATGATGGAAGTGTGGAAATGGCGGTGGTCCATAAACTGGTGGCGGAGGTGGTCCGTACATCGGCAATGGCGGTGGTGGAGGCCCAAATTGTCCGTTAAGTTGATGAAATGCAAGACCATGATTATGATTGTGAAAACCATTCACATCCATCGTGAATTGAAAATGTTTAAAATTATTTTTGCGGTGAAAAGTGGCATTTGATGCTGTCACACCAAAAATCACTAACACAAAAAAACTAAACAATTTCATTTTTTCTTAATTTGAATGAAATTCGACTTGATTTTGACTCTTTTTAAAATTTTATTCAACTCAAAACTAACAACAATTTGGTTCAGAAACGTGCTTCGACAAATGTACGCAATGTATCACTTGAGAAAATTATTGGGTGCTGTTATTGTCCGGTGTCTCGATTCAAACTAATGATTGTCGAACGAGAAAGACTGTCGAAGTACACGAACGTCGAAAAAAATGAACATTAAGAACTTTGATGTAAATGTGAAACATCACATACATACAACAGCACAACGACCCGTTAGCAATGTTCGTGATGCGAACGACTGTGTTAAGACGAGTGTAGAACAACAGGCACAGCAGTGCTGAGCACGAACACAAACAAATAAGAAACATAAGAAAGTGATGCGTCGATAAGACGATCATACACAATGAGACGAGTAAAGCAAATCTCAAAAAAACCGAACCAATATAAATGTAACGCACAAAAACCCAACACAAATAACACAGACAAATCGAATAAAAATAACCAGAAACGAAAAAACCCTGAACGAACACATTTCAGTTCAGTGGATGCGGTTTGTGTTTTTGTTTTGTGACTAAATATTTTGTTGAAATCATTTGATACGGTCGAATAATACATGAAGCAAAAAAATACAAACAAACAAAAACAGCAGTGAATCGATGAGAATATGGACAATTATCTCAAAAATTTGCTCCGACTTACATTCCATTTAATCGGTCACTCGGTCAAAAAATGCGTGTATACAGAGGTCAAGGTCTTGATAACTCTTTATCTGACTAACGTAAGTCTGTACCGGCATATCAGCCAACTCAATGACTCGGCGATACATTACTCGATTAAAAAAAGACTCATTTTGAGTGGAAAAATATAAATACATTTATCTCCGTAGTTTTATTTATTACGATACATTTATTATTAGCGGGATTTCCGTTAATCGCGGGGTTTTCCGCATGTTAATACTTTTTTCTATAATTAAGACGTTTCTCAAGACATTAACAGTGTAATTTTATGCGGTAAATTGATGGTGCTTCACATACCACAAACGCACACATTCTACTCAATGAAACGATTGACTCAGATGTACGAATGCGTGTGAATATATGAAAATTAATAAAGAAGTGCGAGCTTGCGAATATTGAGAGGGGAAAAATAGAAGGAGAAAGTTGTTTTTGTGATGAGAGATAGAGATGTTGGTGTTAATTTAAGCATAACACCGCGACTACTGATAACCTTTTCGATGACGCAAGGTTTAAAAATATATATATATATAAAAAAAGTGTTGTTACAACGAGATAAACTCGCCGCGTTTTGTCTGTGAATTGAATGTCAATTCTGTAATAACATTTGAATGTTGATCACATTGAAACTTTGGTTTTTCATTCATTTTTAGCACTTTGTTTACAATGTCAAAGTGGCCGTTGGAAACGAAAGCGTGCCAAAGTTAGTCTTTTTCTGAAAAGCATATTTTATTCTTACTTCATGCACATTTTTTTTGCTTCAATTAAAATGCCACTTTGGTATGAATCTTGCGACAGTGCGCTATCGCATAGCAATGTCATTAAAATCGTGTTAGATTCTGTGGATTTAATTTATTTTACAAGAACTCGAGCAAAATACTATTTAATTATTATTATTTTTGCTGTGTACAAGTGCAAAAACGTTGTAATCGCACCCTCTAATAAAAAAACAGCACATACCATAAGAGGAACTGAAACCAAAGCGCAAAAAATAATATTTTTATTACATTAATTCGTATTGTAATTATTAAATTGAAAGGCCAACAGTGGCAACAATAAAATCGCGGTTATAAGAGCATAGCACCGATGAACCGAAATTCCCACACAGAACAATAGCATGGCACAACACATCATTCGTTGGCCATATGACTGTGAAGAAAGAGAAAAAACACAACGTGGACTACAATGAAGAAAAAAAAAATCCGCGCTCGCTTGGCAGTTCATAAAATGCGCTCGCTGTGATGAATGACACAATAGCAGACCGCACGCACGTTAAATACTCAATCATAGCGCGTATATATTCATTTTGTTCAAGTCATCCGAGTCAATTTAGTGTAACTGGCACACAATGCGGGGGCACTGCTATTACTTTGTATGGATGCTATCTAATTTGCACTTTTGTATGGTAAATCATTAGATTTTTATTCGGGCATTGAGGCGACTGATTCACGGGCGATTTTGTAATCGAAACTAATCTTATGATAATGCCGATGATGCAACGTGTTTGGACGAGAACTATTTTTACTGCAACAAAAAAATTCGCATTAAAATCACTGATGCGGAAAATTATACACGGAGCATATTTGCATTGAATGGAATGAAGAAAATGTTGAGACGAATTATATGACCCTTTTCAAAGTGTATTTCGAACAAAACAATGTCAATCAAAAATACATTTTGAGCTGTTCAGTATCGGTTTGGAAGTAATTAATTTTGCAGACGTTTGAAGCTCATTAGTTTCATAGTCGACGTATTCGATCGTAAAATCTTGAACAAGAAATGCGTATAAAGATAATCCGAAATGGTGGCAGTGGAATGATTTCGTTGGCTTTCTTTTGGGCGCCGTCAACGGTTCGATGCGTAAGAGAATCAACCGAACGTGGGTAGTTTATTCTTTAAAAGTTGGATTGGCATTACGACAATCGAATTTGTTTTGTTTCTTTTTCGCATACAACAATGTTACGTATATCATAAAACGTGAACTCACTTTCGTTTTCTAAACAAAACAAAAATTCGCTTCGAGTTTTGAAGTGTGCGAAATAAAAAATGGTAATGCTGCCTATTTTGGACGCTAGTTTTTTCATTGGCACTTTTTGCAACCTGTGCAAAAATTCGCACTCCATTCATTGTTTAGTCTGACACGAGTAACGGTACCGAATGAATCGCACAACCATACTATTAACGGTGAATGAAAATTTAAGCGAATTTTTCCAAATAATCAAGAATCAATGTCGAGTTAAGCCTGAACCATGAGAAGGGTAAGTGTTTCATCGAAACATAAGATAAAAATCGACATCTTAATGATAGTGAAAATTGTGTTGGGATCAGTTTTATTTTTTATTAGTGATTTTCGTGATGAGATTTTCATCCGAAGTGAATTGCTATCCGGCCATAGATGCAAGTGCGGTGCAAAGACAACGATTAGATATATACAAACGACAAAACTCCGAATTTAATCGACTTCAATCGAATAAAATCGATTATAGCGCTTATGAAGACATAAACGATCAAGCGCCAAACGATCAATCGGCCGAATTAATAGATCAATCGGAAAGTCGACGTTTTGGCACAAGAAAACGGCCGTGTGTGCCAGTTTATTCAAATTATGGTGGAAAGCGTCGTAGAGGTGGACGCGGACGAAATAGTGGACTCGGCGATGGACGAACATTATATGATTTAAATTTCTACTTTCTCGGCTATCAACCGAATCGGTATCAAGTGAATCCAGGCAGTCAAAGCGTTTCAGCAATTGCTGCAACGGATAACAATAGACCAGTAAGTGATAGTTCACATTACGATCACTACGGAGGGTATTATGATTGCGAGCCAAATCCATTCTATCGTCCACCATTTGGTGGACATGGTGGCGGCGGAAATGGCGCGCTTAGTGATGATCCCAATGGCCAAAGTTATTTGGGTTTATTGGGTCAAGGTTTGTCTGATTTTTTTAACGGATTATTTGGCTATGGTAATCCAAATGCAGGCAGTGGTGGATATGATACGCCCGTTTCTGCTGGCGCTGGTTCCGTTCTAAACGACCAAAATACCAACGATGAAAGGCCCGTCTATGAAATCAACGTACCTGATACAATTGCAGCTTTGGTAACATCAATTTTCTTCATTAAATTCACATTTCGATCACGCGACATTAACCCATTTTCCTCCACACGTGTTGATTATATTTTTCTTTCGTTCATACAGAATCCAAATAATTGGCGACCCGGACAATTAGTCGGCGGCATACAAAACAATGTTAATGGATTTGTGCAGGAAATTTCGCGATATATTCCATTTTAAATTTATTCCAATATTGTAGTTTATTCGAGTTTTTTAATGTGTATTTATGTAATAGTAAAAAAATATTGTGAGAAAAAAAAGCGATCTGTATTGAATTTACCTGGTATAAAAATTGAGTTTTTACTTTCATTTAAAAGTCTTTCGCTTTGTGCGGTGCATAAGAGAGAAAAAAGACGTATATACAGAATTACGACATGACCCAAAATTCATAGAGTGGTGGAATGCGTGGGAGAGCATTTGCAAGAGTGAATTTTGTTTGCTTTTTTTTTTGCGTCTTTGTGTGTGTGTGTCTTTCTTTTTTGATTTGATTCGATCATATTTCAAACGGTAACCGTACATTCCATGGGGATATCAAATTGAGACAAGCAAATCAAATGGTAAACTATATCAAGATGATTGCGATTGAAAGAAACCATTGAAAATTAAATGAAAATATTCTTTCGTGCTTGGCACTTGTAGCGATTCGCCACACACAAAACATTCATCTTTCGGCTGTGTAAAGGGAGAACTCTTTGATGCGAAGAAGAATTGACTCGAAAACTTTACCCTTCTACTTTTCATTGGTTTCGTGTTCTTTGTGTTGCACACTGTGAAAGCAAGCATTTCCAATGAATTCGAATAGCATTCAGATCGCGAAGTTCAAAGCATTGGCAAATTTGTTTTTGCTCCACTGCAAATTGAACCGAGCACAAACAGAAGAAGCAGAAAAAAAATTGGATTTTTGTGGAAACCGAAAGCGGAAACCAAGGGGATAACCGTGAATTGCAGATCGAATAATTTATAATAATAAACGCTATTTCTCTCTATTTTTCACTAATTCTGCTAGTATTTCTACTAGTTTGTTCTAATACTGCTATTTTTTGCTAATTTTTCTAGTACGTCAAAAATATTGCATACGTCAGATTGACAGCATGATCGAATAACCGAAATGTGTTTACGTAAATGTTTCAAGTTGACACTTTCAACGTGTATATTTGAAGCAGGCACTAGCGTATACGTTTTCAGTAAGAAATCTGTCATCAAATCTACATTTCCGATTGCAATTCGTAAATTGTAGTTAATACAGATGAAACGTGCTTGGTTACGTGCCATTGAATATATTTTTATTTAAAAATAAGAAAAAGCGTATTTAACTACATATTTTGATACATTTTAGTTCAACACTATTCAATTCGTTTGTTTTGTGAATTTTATTTTAATTAATTATTTCAATATATTCAAGAATAAATGCTTACTAAAGTATATACGTGTACAGTGCTAATTCTGCTATTTATTGCTAATTTTGCTATTTTCTTCATGTAAATTTCCCTATTTTTTTGCTAATGTGCTAATTCTAATTCGCATGGATATCCCCTAGGCGGAAACCCAGTGAAACGCATCGGAATGCCATGGATAGGGCTGGCAACAAAATCAAATGTCAAACTGTTTTCATTGGCACAGTAAATTTTCTGCGGACAAAAAGTAAAAGTTTGAATGGAACGACGCGCACACGCACACAAACACACAGCAACCAAAATCAAATTATCTTCAATTACGTCATAGAGAATATCGGAACTGGAATCCGAATCCGTTTCCTTGAGCGAACACAATTCAATTTTCTGCTGTTATGTTTGCACAACTGCAAATCATCATCTCCGTCACATGACGGTTTCAGCCAAAGGGATCCGACAATACGAATGAGATTTGAGAAACCGCTACATACAAATCTAATTATATTATTGTCGATGAAACTTTATTATTGTGATACACATCCGGTTTTTGTTCGGTTTCTTAGTAGCTTCCGACGCTTCGACCGCAACATCAACGTCAACCATCAGCCACCGTGGAAATGGGGTCAAAGAGGAAGAAAAAAAAAGAGTCAAAAGTTTATTTAACTTTTTTATCCAACAATCACAATTCCGTCGTTAAAAATATCATTTTAACAACGCGGCTACCACTGACAAAAGACTTGAAGACACGAAGAAAAAAGAAAAAAGGGAAAAAAAGACTGGAAGGGGGTCAGAGAGAAGAAAAAACGCATCAAGATTATGTTCATTATTGTTAACATCATTAAAACATTATCGATGTTGAGAGAAGTTGGTGATCTACGAGTATTTATGAGATAAATATCATTTTTGAGATAACGATTACTGTTATTCTTCGTTCGTTATTGCGCTTTTGATTTCTTTTTTGATTCTTGAACTTTTCGTACTCAATTTGTGTAATTTTCACAGCAGATTTGCAGTTTTTCGACAAGTTTTTTCTCTCCCAACTTTTCGTTAACTTTTGACCTATTTTATGATGCATTTTTCAACACAAATACGCAATCAATGATGCTGTGTGATATAACAAATTATCACGTTTTTGCTATTCGTCCCAACAGAAACGATTGTTTTTGTAAAATCTTTCACTCAGAAGTTCACCGCTCGTACACTTACCGCCAATTCTGTTATGCAAATGAAGTGGAATGCATTGTATTGTATTTTAATAATTATTGCATGGACGCCATACCGAAATGGTTGAGCCAATGAACTGCATAAATGAAGAGTATTAAACTATCAAAATGTAAACAAAAGTCATCGATCGAATCGTGACGTGAGATTTTCTCCTAATATGTACTGATGCCACCTACGGATATGTGTTTTCGTCGAAACAATGTCACATACAAGTTTACGTTGTGATTAAATTGTTCCAACTCTCTCTTTCTCACAGCACACATACACGCACATTTACCCAAACGGTGGTGCAAATATCTCGGTATTTAATCAAGAGTCTTGTGCATGCATCGAGCACACATCCTATACAAAGTAATATATAATGGTGTGTAGTAAGTGATAGAGCGGAGAGTTAACAAAAGTGAAAGAGCACTTGCTTTGGTTGATTCATTCATTTCATCATCATCCACTTGAGCTGTATGAGTATGTTTTCATTAAGCAATTTCACTCTTTTATGCTTTTGTGTTGTGTTTGTGAGTGTCTTGTGTCATGTGTGCAAATGAAAATTGTTTACTTTTGGCACGAACATTAAATTCAATTGCATGATGTCGATTATCAGCGCATGATTGATAAAGTTATCAGGGCCATTTCGGCTTTTGATAAATAAACTATTTGTGCTCATGAATACACCTTCAATATTACTTTTGAGTGCAGAATGAATTTTCATTGAATGAAAGCAATTTTCACACGAACATTATTATCCGCTGTTATCTAAAGTTTGGCCAAAAACCCTTGAGTGTACATAATTTATGTGTCAACTTGGTTGAGATGATTTCAAACGCGGAACGATCTCCTCATCATTGAAAATGTAAATGTTTTCCTTTTGTATTTATGAAAAGAGTCATTGTTGGTATACACCAGCATCGAGTTTATTTTATTATGAAATTTAACTTAATGAAAACATCAAGCAGATAGAAATCTCTCACTCTTTTATATTTGCCAAAGAGCAACACTTCGTCTGTCTGAAGCGTGTACGATGGAACCATTACAACGACATCGACACCGACAACGACGACGGCTCTTTATTTGCATTCGACGATTTCAGTTTTTTCAATGATGAAAGATATACTCGACACGGAGAGAGAGGGAGAGAGAGATATAGAAAAGGCGGTAGAAGGAAAGAGTGAAATTATTCGATGCGCTTTATATTCAAACGAATTATGTACGTGATTTCATGTCGTTCATAAATTCTATGAATTTAATAACGGTAATTCGCAGGTTATGACTCGTTACACTGATGACAAGTAATTAAAAACGCATACGCCACCGCCTGGCATCCGTGCATGGAAAATGGTTATATTTCGGTTTGTAGAGGGAGAATGACGAAGATTGGTAGAAGTGAAACACGGTGTGTGCTGTGATGTGTTGCGGTAATTTGTATTAAAATTGTGATATGTTTAAAAAATGTGGTTGATTTATTAATGGGAATAATATTAATAACATGGTGAAATGGTATCGATTCACACAAGAACAAAGGGATTTTTTCCCCCGAGGTATAAAAAAAATTAACATCCATATAATAAAAAAGATTGTGTATTATTTCAAAAAACACAATATGCTTTGAGTTTTAAGCTGATGATGGTAAGATTCCATTTAATGTAAAAAAAACCTGAATGGGTTTTTGATCAAAGCAAATAGTTTCCATCAAAAGAGAGCTGATTATTATGATGATAATGCAATAGATACTGTTTAATGTGATTAATCAACGGCCATACATACGGAGTAACGCCAAGAATGTCAAAGTCAATGAAATGTTGTTTTTTTGTATAATTTATAGATGTGTGCATGGTTGTGGCGTTGGTAATGATGGTGTAGTTGAAAATTAGCAAAATTATGCAAGTCAAAGCGTATGCATGTGCACATCAATTTGGTTAGATTACTGTTTAGCTAACCTGCGACACTGATAAAATGCATTTTATTCATTGTAACATATGTGAAGAGCTTTGTTTGTTGCACATGCATTGGCGATTGCTTTCTCTCATTTTTTGCTCGTCAATGGCCAGCACAAAATTCGTATAGATCTTGAATGGTCAGTTGTGCATCGAAAATGTGGATAAATGAGATGCGAAAGAGCATACACACACACAGGTTCATTGCATCCGCAAATAATGACGATTTTTCGATTCCGACACATTTGGTTGTGCAGTGGAATAGGAGCAGAACGGATGCACTGTAACAATAACACATTGGACGGTGTTGCTGCCACATGACATTGAATAAATTGGCAAATGAATATTAATACCGTGTAATTTATAATGATAGTGTCAGCACACAAGCGAGGGTGATCAATGTTCAGAGTCGCGACTGCAGACGGCTCTGTTTCACTACCTCTTCCATTCATTTTTTTTCACTCACTCCCACGCTCATTTGCTCTTTTGTTCTATCCCCTTTGTTTTACAGACGAAACATACAGATAAATGTACGCGAACGTGTGTGAGTGTGTTTCAATATGCAAAATAAATAATTGTAATTGGTTTCGAACGACAATGTTTGCACATCGTATACACATACATATATGTATATAAAGACAGATGTGTATGTGCAGAGCATCGATTCGCAGCGCAGCTCATTTCGAGGTGACAATTAATTTGGGACCTCGTTTTAACGATTTATATTCTTTGTTGACATTTCTCCAATTTATCTTTTGCATAAAATACGGAACCAAAATTCGAATAATTAATGAATTTCGACAGTGCATTAAGTCTGATCGATTATTCAAACTTCACCAAAAAAAAACTGAGAGTGCATTTTGCTATCTCTTCCAACGATTGATGCATTTATGCAAAAATAATGTAAATACAAAGTGTCAAAAATCACTACGTATCTCTGTATTCTCCAAAATCTCGAATTTAATGCCGATTTTATTTGTACAATGGCACACACACGCACACTCAACTAAGAAGTACGTGTGTCAACGTATTGAGATGTGAATTTACTTGAACTGCTTTTGACGCATAAGTGTTGTTTGATAATGACTTTTATATGGAAATATGATGAACGTCTAAACAAAATACGTAAAATTTAAATCTTTGTGAGACACAGTCGCTTCACTTTTGGAATCGAAAATTTGAATGGCATAGTTTTATTCAAAACTTCAATTTTCTTAAACTGAAGTAATTTTTTGCTTCGTTTTTGCCAATTTTTTTCTTCTTCTCTTTCTCTGCATTCAATTCGTTCTGTGCTTTGTTCTTCACGCTGACTTTTATTACAGTTGCACAACTTTGCCGAGTGTATTCAAATAACTTTATTGCACCCTTGTTTGTGATATTGTGATATTCTATTTTCTCTCCACAATACCCCACTGCTCTCAGTGTGTTGGCAATGTGCCGTGTCATGTGTGACAAGTCGTTATGTTCATGCTGCTGCCGTCATTGTTGTCGTTGTGGCCGCCGTCGTCGCCGCCACCATCGTTAACATTCTCGTCGACTTTATCACTCAAACTATATCATGCTCACGCTTTATTTACCGTCTACCGATTTGCACAAACTTTCCCTACATGCTGTAAGGATATTTAAAAAAAACGAACTTCTATTTTCTCTATCGTTTAGTCCAATGTATTCTTCAGTGTTACAGTGTGTTTGCTACATTGAACGCAACAGCATTGAGCTGACATCAGCCAGGCGACATCAAAACATATATAACCATTCGGAATGGTATATTATTGCTTGAAACTTGCACAAACAGTAAAATTGTCGGTTTCATTCATTTCGTTTCACAGTAAATACTTTCTAATTTTGAATACATACAAGTACGGACGAGAAATACGCAAATTTGTTAAAATTCACATGTGAATTCCTAACTTTGGCGAAAATGACGACAACAGCGACGAGCACATACAACGAAATCAATTTTAGAACTGCACTGAACTGTGTGAATTGTCGAGAGAGAGACAAAAAATGGATATTCATGGAATTGTTTACCACTCGAGACATCCGCACACACATACACATGCCAAAATCCCCGAATATTATTTAGAAGTATGGTAAAGCTATTTGCTACTGCTATTGCTGCATCAATCTTTTAAGCCGACGACAACGATCCGCAAAAACACAAGAAAGACAATTGTCGTTCATTGTATCACCTCCAGCCCGTAGAAATAACCAAAATGAACCAGAACACAATATGTAGAAATGCGCATCAAGTACACAGCACAGACATTGCATCCGAATGCTAGCGACAATATATTTATTGTTTTCATTCATGTATACTCAGTTGTTGTCTTCTTGTTGGTGACCGGCGATCTGTGTAATTTTCGGGGAGAAAATATTTGCGACCGACAGCAAAAGAAAACTCATCGCATACAATGCATTGCTATTGCTACACAAGTCTCATGAAATTAAGACAGAGACAGAGAGGGGGTAAAGCAAAAAAAAAATGGAACGCAAGTACTCACCATTCAGCCAGCCAACCAACATTTAATGTGACAGTCGTGTTAAATTGAGAATTTTTTTCTAGCGGTTTACTTTTTTCGTCGGTACGTTTGCATAGCATCGTCACCCGAAGTTCGGTTAATATGTGCAAAATGTTAATAACAGTGTGTCTTTGGATTTGCAGTCAAACTCACTTTTACCCATTTTTTCGCTGTATTTGATGTGCAGCTATATTCATTGCAATTAAACTACCGATCGCATTGTATGTGCATATAATGTAGGAACTTGAGTTGATGCAGTTGCTTGAAAACTAAGAAATTACAACAAAAAAAAGAACACCGGAAAGTATTCTGAAGGAACTGTTTGAATTTTATTTTTAAGTTTTATTGAGAATATAACAGTGGAATATGGATTTCAAATGATTAATTTGGCACCTATATATCGTGCTTATGCATGGATTTCAATTAAATCATACTATGATTTTAAATGTTATTCAACAAAAAATGTGTTGATGGCTTAGCTTTAAAAAAAAACTACTAAATCTACCTGATTTCTGTTTTTTTATATCGTCCAGTTTCACATCTAAATCGGCTATGAAATCATTTATATAAGATTCATGCATAGTACTTTTCTTTTTGGCTTCCGCATAGTTTTTATAATCGGTAATAATTCCGGAAATGTTGTGAAACGACTCTGATTCATCTGGATGTTTTATACCTTTATTATTGCCTCCAATACGACCATTGCTTCCATTTTCACGAGAATTCGTATCCGATTTAGTAATGTTCTTGTTCCATGAAAATTCCAAAAAGTACAAAATATGTATGTATTCTGCTTCAACAGCCGTTTTGCAACCTGCAATTCCACCGGATCCACCTTTTCCATGCATACCATCGGAACCTGTGTTGGTTTTTAAAACTTGATGTAGTCAATGAAACTCGCCAATTATTTATTAAAGTGGAAAATATTAAGAGATTTACTTGCCTTTATTTCTGGAAATGATAAAATTTGGATACTCTTTGAAACCGTTGATAAGAATGTTACCACCCGATCCGCCCAAACCTACAAAAAATACGATAAAAAATATCATTATTTTCATCTATATTTTTTTAATTTATATTTATACCTCCAACTCCGCCATTGCCGCCATTCCCGGGCTTTTTGCTTTTTTTTTCAATGACTTTGTATGAATTTTTACCAAAGATGAATGCGTCGAATAAACTTGATTTTTTATGCTCTAGATCACATTTTTCTTTCCATGGATTTAACATGAACCACGATGGAGTGGTTGGTGTCTTGCTATCGAATCCATCTGCTCCTGAAAGAAAATTAAAATATATAGTTTGCGTATGTGCAGATAAAACATTTCACACAAACCTTTTCGACCGTCTTGTCCCGATCCACCATTTCCACCTCTTAAATACATTTTGAGATATTCATCGTTGAAGGACTTATGACCAAAGCCAAAGAAATTACCGGATGCACCTCCCGGATTGCCTGGCTTGCCATCGGTTCCCTCTTCTCCGTCTGCATGTGATTCCGAATGTGATTTTCCATCTTCGCCATTTAAAATAATTTGACGATCACCGATTACATGCCAATTTGGTGCAATGAACGTAATTTGTGCATTTTGACCAGTTTTATCGATATCAGCATCGATGTATAAATTGTTGATTGCAAATATTTCCACATATTTGATCGCTTCACTGCTTATATTATCAATATCTTTGATTTTCACATTATATCCTTTCACCACCAATTTATTTTTCGTGCGATTGGTTTCAAAAGTACCGTCCAACGCTCGATGTAATATTTCATGGAGCGTTTTTAACTTGAAGTAATTCAATCGAATATTTTCCACGGTGTAATAAGTTTGGCAACCAACATTTTCAGCTAGTGATTTTAAGCCGATACTTTCAATATTTCGGTACACATTTTTCTGTATGTCACACTGGCGCATCAAATTATTTTTGTCTGCTTCATAATATTTCAGTTTATTTTGAACATCGTACGCGCACAATTTGTCATGGAAAGTCATTAAGAAATTATACCATCGATGTGATTCATCTAAATACTGTTTGATATCAGTCAAGCCATTTGAAATGTGAAATGAATATGATAAATTAGCGTTGCTCACCAACAGAAGGAATTGGACCAAATCAATGTCATCCAAAAATGTTTTCTTATTTTGATTGGATATTTTTATGTTCAAATTTCTCGCGACACTTAGAAAGTTTTCCGCAAAAAGATTTATTTGATCATATCTCACTTCGGATATTTTCTCATATGCTGTGGACATCACGTTGATCAACAATTTTAGATCAATAGTAGACCCTTCTTGTTTGACATAGAACTGTTTTATTTCGTTACCGATGCATTCCACATCATTCAATAAATGACTCTGCATCTCTTCAAGTATGTTATGGATGCGATTTTTTGTATCGTCTGAAACTGTGTAACCAAAATCGCCATTCGCCTTTGGAACATAAGATAGATGGTCGTGTATTATACGTTTGATGCACCGGCGTTCTTTTTGTAAAATTTCAATGTCTTTAATGGGTCCATTCTGATTTGGAAATCGAAAAATTCCAATGCGATCGTAGCAGTTGTTATTTCTTTTCAAAAATATTTCAATAAATTCGATCATTTTGTTGTTCTCTTCTTCTTTCTCCAAATATTCATCGTTTTGATGTTTTAAATCGCTTATAACTTGTTGGAGAAAAACAGCGATCGTATCGATTATTGCTTTGTCATCAACCAATTGAATTTGGCCACTTTTCATAATAAAACGATTTTCGACTTTCGTAACAATCAATGCAATTCCGTCAGCATATTTGTTAATATCTTTAATAAAAGTGATTGCATGTTTTACCAAATTCAGAAAATCATGACGATGCCCAGAACCGTTTTGAACTGACGAAAAGCTGACCACAAATACCAACTTAATTGAACTGGATTTTTCTATTAGTGTTCGACAGAAATAGGAGACCGAAATATCGTTTGCCACACCTCGTGTGTCATTGTAACCAGGACAGTCAAAATAGATTGCACCGCTTCTTGCATGAACCATTAAATTTGGTATTACTGTTTGTGACTCTGTTGTTGATATTCCACTAATCAAATGTTTTTCGTCTGATATTATAAATTCACCAGAATTGGAAACCGTTTCTTCCGAGATTAGTTTTACTTTAGTCATTAGTGAAACTAGAGTGGTTTTTCCCGCTCCTATGAAAATGAAAGACATCATCAGAACTCGGTCTTAATTATTTTTCCACAAATTTATATATATTTACCAGTATTTCCCATTACAAGTATGATATTCTTATTTTCACAATCACTTATTTTCTTGGCATTACTTTTAACAAACATCATAATTTTTGCGGCTGAGCTTTGATCATCTGTAGTGACCACATCTAATCCTTGCTCTACTTTATACATTATGATCAAACGTTGAAAGAAATGTAATAAAAATGCAATTTTTTGCTTTTAAATTGTAAAATTTTCTTTAGCTCTATTTATATGAGCTCTGCTCTTTCGTCGTTTTTAATAACAGCGATCAATTCACTTTGAAGATTTGCAAAATACTGAGCTAAACCGATCTTTTATTTAAATAAAAATCCTTCCTTCGCTTATGCTGAAATGTCGTTTTTTGTGTGTTTATAAACGGTTATGCTGTTTTTGTATAAATAATGCATTCAGAGAAAACATAAAAATGCTGATATTAATGCTTTTATCTAAACACTCAAAAATGTGTTTACAGCACAAATTATCAATCTCTCTATTTTTGAATAATTTTTCAAGAAATAACTCGACTTTGTGGATAAAGATAATATTTCTTTATATAAATGGGTGCAAAACAGCAGCTATTACGTCAAACGAATTGAATATCACATTTTTACATCCTTAAACAAAAAAAAGCATGACATTTAAAAAAAAAACAAAGATATAATATTCGAATAAAAAAGAAATTCTGCACAGAATGCTGGCTAATATGCATATGATTTGTACGGATTTTCATTTTCTTGCTAAATGAGTCGTTATGGGCTCCACATATTTGTTGTTTCACTTTGTTGTTTATTTTATCATCTTTCAACCGTTTTTTATATACTTCTTCCATACGCACTTCATTAATTACAGTTTCGAATATGTTTAGTGTGTTGTTTAAGAAATCTTAATCAATTTTTGAAATTCATTGTGTCAGCATTTTTTGCATTATAACTCGATGGAGCGGATTTTTATTATCATTTGAATTTACATTGTTAGCGTTGTTATTATTTCTCTGAACATATCGAATGATTATACTAATGACACATTTGCCCTTTATTCTTTGACATTGTACTAAGAAATTACAGCAAAAAAAGTACACCGAAAAGAATTCTGAAGGAACTGTTTGAATTTAAAAATAGTTTTATTGAGAATACAACAGTGGAATATGGATTTCAAATGATTAATTTGGCACATATATAGCGTGCTTATGCATGTATATCAATTAAATCATACTATGATTTGAATGCCCGAGAATGAAAGCGAGACTTCTATTCACAACTTATTGAAATGTAACACCGCCATACAAAAAGTGTTGACAGTCAGCATATTTTGTATGGTGGTGTTACATTTCAATATGCTAACTGTCAGTCTCGCTTTCATTCTCGGGCAATCATTCTAAATGTTATTCAACAAAAAAATTGTTGATGGCTCAACTTAAAACACACTACAATGTATCAAATCTAACTGATTTCCGTTTTTTTACATGTTCATGTAAATAATATGAATGAATGATTGAATAACTTTATTTTAATTGACACCATCATCCAATGATATCATTTTTTGAATTTTTATTTTGTTCATAGGATCTTCCACACCGGTTAGACATATTTCGTTGCGTTCATTGATTCCGAACACTGATGCGTACATGACCTATGAAGGATCCACTACGCACCCCGGTTGCTGGGAGAGTACAGTTTGGATTATTTTGAACAAGCCGATTTATATAACAAAGCAAGAGGTGAATTTATTTCAATGTCCCTTTATCTTAGCTGTAGTTCGATCTTTGTAAAGTAATTTATCGTTTATTCAATAAATTTTCTCAAATGCAATTGTATCGTTTTATATATTTCCAGTTATATGCATTGCGAAGGCTAATGCAAGGATCGGAGCAAACACCAAAGGCGCCGCTCGGTAATAATGCGAGACCAGTTCAAAATCTGCATCATCGCACAGTGCGAACAAACATCGATTTCAAGCAATCAAAGGTATTAATAAATGTTCATTGTAATATTATTAAATGTGATCTGTCCATAAAACGCGTTCAAATCAATGTCGCCAATCCGGTTGAAATACATCAGCATTCTCATATTCAAAACTGCATTCACTTTGCGATCTCTGTGAGATGATTTAAATTGAATTGAATACATTTCAATGACAATTTATGTCTTGTTAGCAAATCGTTTATGTCGGAAGTGAAAAGTGTCGTTTAAATCATTGCTCCTTGAGTTTTTTTTTTTTTGTCATTTTTCTATCTTTTGCTCTTTTGCAAAGATAAAATCGATTTACATCTTATTCCGATACGATGACAACGAAAGAAGAAATTGTGCTAACTTTGTTTTTATGTCTTCTGCGATGCAAAGAAATCATGTCTTTAACTATCTCTTGAGTATTCGATAGTTTGATGCGATTTGCACATTCAGCAATTGCCGAGATGGCAAAACGTTTCGCCGATTAACGGGGGTTTTTTCTTCTTATTTTCGCTTTTCTGAATTGAAAATAAAACTTGAATGATAATTTTGTCGCCAGTTGAGAATTCAATATTAAAACATAAGAACAAAAGCGCCGAACAGCGATAATGGCAAATGTGTGCGATAAAAACGGAATGAACAATGTAAGAGAGTTTTGACCGATTATTGTACGGCAATAAGTGGTTATTTGAATTCTGTTGAACTTATTACGCACACACACACATGCCATCAGGTGCGCTGCCGTAGTGACCGATCAAAAAGAGTTGCAGACATGAGACAAGACAATGTCTCAATGCAATTTTGTATATGCACCACTCTAGCATATTTTGCATAAATTCAAGCACGAAAAATGCTTGAAGCAATTTGCGACGAAAGTTGTAAAAAGAAAAAGAAGCATACAGTGAACGACAGCATTTACATTGATTAAATGTACAATATCATTGCACAGTGCTTTCGTTAATATGCCTTTTTACACAATCTTTAATTCACGACATGCTTTTTCATACCGTAACAAGCTAAAGATTAACAGCGTGTCAATCAAATGACAGCTACATGAAATCATTCCGCATTGAAACCTGTCAGAAAATCCAAGAAATTAAAATCCGAAACCAATACCGGGAAATTTTTTTCTCTCTCAATAAACTTGAGATATGTTTACTTTCGATATATTTTCCGCTTTTATTCCTCGCGACGAACTAAGAAGTAAATTTTAAATATTCTGAAAGAATTTATGTTGAACGAACGTATATTATGACTTTTTTTCGACGATAACTTTTTGTATTCACTTTTCAGTTAACTTGCAGCAAACTCTTGCTGAATCCAACTTATTGAATCCGTTATAATGTATCGAACATTTCAACTTTTTTTCCGTCTTTTGGAATGAAAATAAAATTGAATTCATATTGTGACTTTCGAATCTACCGTTCAAGTACCAATATAAACATTTCACATGAGAAATTATGTCGGTGTGTTTGGATTTCGTCTCTTCGCGGATTATGTGCACTGAAGTCGATGTTTAATTTCGGCGAATTTTTTTTTTGTATGAATCAAAACTGAAAGCGAAAGAAAGAGTGATAACCGGAAGAAAGAGAAGGATAGGAAGAATGAAAAGAGAGAGGAGAGAGCGATGAAAGAGTTTGTGGAAGTGCGAGTGGAAAAATTCGATTTTAATATTCCCCAGTCGGGACGCAGATGCAAGTAGAAAAAAACGAAGAGATTAAATTCGGTAGTGTAAAAATGTTTAACTAAAAGAAGAAGAAAAAATAAATACAAAAATAAACACACGAAAATCCGGTGCACATTTCATAGAAAAAATCAAAGTGGGAATAATGTTGAGGTTGTGAATGGGAGAGTAAGCGCAGAAAATCGAAATAAAACTTGGGAAAACTTAATCTGTCTTTATTGCGATGCATTGCTCACATTCAAACTCTCCCTCCGCCCCACACACAAGCACGCCAAAAAGTGATTGTGACTTGTCACTGGGGGGAAGTTCATTTGATACGTTGTTATTTTTCGATTCAATTCATGCGCGCACAGACACAATGGATTACGGTTGAAAAAGAATAATATTTGGAGTGTCGATGGCAGCGTGTGAGCTAAGTTGAAGTGTTTATGAGATTGGCCCCAAACACGACGAAAAGTGGACTATTGTATGTTAAGAAAAGAGAAGAAGAATTAAGTACTTAACTCGAAAGATTTCATCGAAAATCATAAAACCAGCCAGAAGCTTATCGCTGGCATTAAGCTCTCAAAGTTGCTCTTTTATGGAATATATTTTCGTGTGGCTCAGTCACGTCAATAACTAACTGAAATTAACCCCGATCCAAATGACTTGTTTTTTTCTTATTTTGTAAATAATTTTTTGTGTTCGTTTCGTCTTTTCTTTTTCCACAGACACAAAACTGTCCAACAATGTACAAAGATATGTTCTACAAAGCAAACAAATGGACGGTCGACACACCGATGACAATGCGAAGTGGTCGCGATCGAAATATGGCTGACATAGATGCTGTCTTTTCATCCGTTTACAAAACCTAAATCGAACATAATTTCTCCCCCTTTTACTCCACAAATTCGATCGAAATTATGAAAAACACAAATATTCTAGAGACTTTTTAAAACAAAAACCATAGGATAAATATATAAATGAATTTAATGCAATGCAGAAGAGTTGGACGCCGATACGATAATGATAATTGGAGCAGATGAAAGAAAAAAAAATGATTCATCAAAACAATTCAACGAAGGTACTAATGGAATAGAAACAAAAATGTACTAATAATAACATTGAATTAAGGATGACTAAAACATCGACCAAATAGTGTTTGTGTCATTTACCGCAAATCGAAAAATATGCAATAAAAGCAACCGGTTTGTTATTATATACATTTTTGTCCCTGCAACAGCTGAAATTGAATTAAAAAAAAAAACATCAATCAAAATTAATAGCATACAAATTGAAATTGTAAAACAGAAATAATAGTGAAAAAAATATATGAATGAACCAACAAACACCACCACCAATAATAATGAAAATGTATTTGTATACGTTGAAAAGCCATAGTATAAAAGTGTCAACTGATACGGTGCTGCGTTAGCATCCGCTTGGAGGAAATGCATTAAAAGAGAAATTAAGTGCGATTGATTTATTCATAAGTAATAAATGTATCCATTATTACATTATTATGCCGTGTATTGTGCAAATCCCGGTCGTAACGTAGTTTCATGAGTACAAGAGAAAGAGGGAAACAAAACTGCAAACTAAATCAATACACAGCGAGGAAGAAACTGATAGAGCGACGATGGTGTTAATCTAATTCAAAAACCAAATTTAGTGTGCATGTACCATATTAAGAATCCATTTAATCCGATCTATATTGTATAAAATGGCTTTAACTCTTTCTCTCTATCACTTGCAAAACCTGTTCTCGCTCTCTATTCGCGCAATGTCTAGCTGTAATCATTTTATTCAAGCGCTAACCAAACCTGAAGACACGGAGTGACAAAATAAAAGCTGAATGAATGAAGTGATCCACAATAAAGACGGAATAGAAAAAAAATTATCTCCTGCTATATTTGTACGATCATCCAAAATATGTAACAAACCAACACCGACAAAACCAACACTTGAATATAGACAATAAGATTCAAAGATTCTTATTTTATGCAATATACCGATTGAAAAAGCGACAAAATACATAAAAAAAATCTTGCCAATGCCATTTTAATAAAATGGTTTTATTGTGAACCATTACACATATTTCAACCATTCCGAATCGATTTTCTTCAAATTGACACTGTTTACAGTTCAACTCAATTTATATCCTTTTATTTTGCATTCAAAAGAATGTCTGCATATTTCTTGATCGATTTAAAATAAAAACACAGTGTATCGAAATAAAAAATCAAATTTTGTACATTGCATAGACTGAATAATAAAAAAAAACTACCACTAAATAGAAAACTCAAATTGAATTAAGTGTAATACTAGTTTTTGCTTGAATAGTAAATGAAATTAAAGTTTTTTTTTGGTGGCGTGTGTACACAAAAAAGCAAGCAAATATATGTATATCCATTCGGGAAAATCGTCTGGAGACCAATTTATTATAATACTACTACTATTGCTACTATACTGTGAAAATATGTTTAACTTCCCTTTGTTTTCCTTCCACACTGTTGTTTTCCTCTCAACAAATATTATTACTCATTTTCATTGGGAATGAGCGCGAAAATCAGTTCTGAAAAAAAGCCCAAAACTAACCACCAAAAGTTTCAAAACCGAATAAATTAAGTGTTAAACGAAATGTTGAAAATCATCCGAAAATTCAATTAAACAAGCTGGCTGACTTTGTCAACGTTGCGGGACACCAAAGAAAAAACACATTGGCGCAATCAGCATTGACATCGTTTCGCGCAAAAGTTTGAATATTCATTTCATGGTGTTACGGATGCAAATGGCTATTAGAATTCAATGGGAATATATAGAGAACTTTGTACATAATTATAAATAAATAACAAGAACAGAAATATTGATTATTAGTAGCTAGTGTCTACAAACAACTAAACTAAATTGTAAGAAACTTTCTTTGGCGAGTAAAAAAATGACACTTATGGCAAAAATGAAACAATAAAATTTAAACTGAACTGTTATGATTTCGTGATTCTCCAGAATACAGAGAATCCAAACACAGCGCGAACTACGTTTTTCTTGAATGATTTGAATGAATTGGTGCAGAGTAGAAAAAACTAACAATTTAATCGGTCAAATTCGGTCGGAAATTTAGTTGAAATTTGCGTATAAAAATGCGATTCACACCACTTCAAAAAAAAGTGCGTGTATAAAGAGAATGTATCCAAAAAGTAACACAAAAATTACAGTAATTGTTATTTAGTTGTATTAACAACAAACATATGGATTTTATGACAACAAATGAATGAATATTATAAAAATTGAAAGAAAAATGAATGAAAATAAACGCAATAAATAAACCAAAATCACAGCTTTTTTGCTCATTTCGGGTTTTTTCGGGCACGAAAAATCTGCAGAGAATTTCAAGGTGGGTAATTCGAAACAAACATCTGAGCAATAGAGGTTTAAGGGTGAATTGATCGATAGGTAATTAAGTGACATTCATTTTCAGTACTGTAATTAAATGCTTTAATTCACAATATGTCCTATGACATATGAGCGAGAATATTTAATGTATTCTATTGTGGCTGACTCGATCTAGATAAACGATACGATGGACGATGAAATCTCCGGACCCCGCTGGATTAATCAACATTGTCAGTCTTCAACCACTTTTGAATATGGAAACAAATCATACCATTGGGAGCTCAACCACACACACACACATATACATGCACACTCTAATATCATTTACCATGATTTATTGCTTTAAATTTATTCTACTTTGTCTGCGGTTTTCCACTTTGAATTATTACATTGATGAGTGCCCTAAATGGCAACACCAATATTTAATATTTTCGGTGATGGTCAAATCCAACACCCTTTTGACCATATTATTCGCAGACAATGAATCACAGTCCAATCCTTATGAGGAATAAACCCATCCATTTCGTAATATTAGCGTTTTAATTATTAAAAAAAACCAGCAAGAAAGTTCACATTTTCTTACTTAAATTTCAGTTTTGTTGTTGGTATCACGATCGCGTTTTTGTATGAAATTACATGTATTTTCTTTGCCGAAGCAGTTTTCGGTTTGAAATCGCATAATAATTTATGTGAAATCAATGAATCGAAATTCGAGCACATAAAAGAAAGCCACACCTGTGCTTGAGAAATAATCGAACCAGAATTAATTAGAAGTACAAATTATGATGGCTTAGAATAATGAAAATGAAATGTGAAGCCTAGCCCATTACTATATACAACGAAAATCAGCAGAAATATTCCAAAATCAAACGATTTCGGAAGATAGTTACTAGAAATAATGACCAATTTGGTTTCTGTATCAAAAGCGAATTACGGTAACCACAATCAAATGTGAATTGAATACGTACGTCATCGATGTTAATGGAAATGAGTCTGGTCGTTCGATTGGTTCTTTTTACTAAAAGAAGAGAAATACATGGCTTGTATTTGATTTTATTGAAATGCTCGCATCTCTCCATATATTAGAAATCAAAGCCGGCCAACGAAGAGGTAGGACGAAGGGGTCTGATTGTAATATTCATATATCGATCCATCGATCTAAATGAAGTGTCAAATTAAAATAAGTGAGTTTCCGATATTCTTCTCATCGTCAACCAAACTCAGGTCGTCAAATCCCAAAATTGTCATTCATCACCGCATGATTTTGTGTTGTTGCATTGATGTTGTCTCTCCATTATTTCACACAACTTAATCAACTTTATGGATGTTTCGGATGTAACCGGTGCGATAACGAAGGGAAAAGTGGTAAATGAAATAGTGTTGAGAGATAGAGACAGAGGGTGAGCGCACACATATTTAAATTGGAACCGATAAATACCCATGATACTCGTCATTAGTCTATTCAACCATTTGGTTTGATTCTATTATACTAACGAAATTTACATTTTCTATTTGTTGATACTGATGGGCCAAATCACCGTTGTTACTATTAAATATAAAGCGTTATTCATCATCATCATTGCACTGAATTCTCGGTTTTGGTGTACTCTTTCATTTTTAACACACCCATAGTTGCCTGTGTAAATAATTCGATTGGTGTCTGTCTGAGTATGTGTGTTGGACATTGAAAGCGAAAATTCATTTAATGTGATTGCAATTTGACATAGATGTCATCGGAGATGGGAGCAAAACCACTCAAATTCAATGGTTCAAATTCATAAAATCAATGGCATAATAATAATACATTCATTCATTTACACACATTTTGATTCTCTTTTCTTTCCTCCTCGGTGTGTGCCGAGAAAACGAACTCTAAACTGGTTGAAACACACATTCATTGGTCGGTTGTCGATGGTTTATTTTATTTATATCGACCTATTTGAAACACTGTGGCATTCATTTATCAATTCAACGATGGCCTTTGTGCCAGATACATTTTGTTCTTTTTTTCCCATTGTGTGAATGAGATTGAGTATGTGTGTATGACCCAAAGTGGCATTCTGGTGACCTTATCGAAATAAACCATCCATCGACAATAATAAATTAATCATTGCGTGCTTGACTTCATGGCCAATTTGGCTGAAAATCAAAACAAAAATCTAATTATGCGTAATGGATTTGGAGTGATGTTTCGCTATTTTATCAATCAATTTTTGGTATTTTGCGGTCAGGCCGGAAGGAGGCGCGTCTTCATTGTCGTTGAACAACATATTACATTTTGTTTTCGTAATTATTGCTGACACCTGATTCAACTTAAATTCCAGTCAACTTGAACATTTGGTGCGTGGTCAGGTGCCAGCCGTTGGCCAAAATATTGATAGAAAGTTGAGCTTATTCAGCATTTATGTTTGCGGTTCGGCCATGCCATTTACTCTAATCGAAATTCATAATACAAGAAAAAATCATTCAATAAAATTCACATTTATGTGCTGTCCATGTGAAAGCGACCCAGCCATATTAAAGCACACCTTTGTCTTTTTATTCTTCATAAATTTTCCGTCTTGCGTCAAGTTGCGAGCACCCATACACACACAGCCACTTTCACCGTCTCGAATTTATCATTTTATTACAATAAATGTCACATAAAAATGTCAATAGCAAACAAAAGCAAATCTCTTACTTGAGTGCTGTCGGGTGTTGCGGTTGACGGCAACAGAGCAGAGCGAGAGAGAAAAGGACGAATGGAAAGTTGTGATGCGAGAATATGCCTAATGGTTTTCAATCGGTGAAATAGGAGATTTTGATAAATCGCAATGACAACACAGAAGGCAACCAATTTGTTATTCGACAAGCATATGAACAGTAAATGCAGGTACGTTGGCAGTGGAAGTGGATACGTTTTTCGGCAAACAGATATTCATACAATTTACAAGAAAATTTGCTTGAGTGTACTTGACTTCCGCATATTGCTTGACGAAAGAAAAAAATAATACAGACGCGACATTCTGCCAAAATGTAACATGTTTTGTATTTTTGTGTGTTCTGAATTACATTTGCCAGTCGAACGAATTAATGAACACCCTTTTTATGACATGGCAGAAAAATGACAGAGAGACAACAGTGTGTGAGAATGAAAGATAAAAATCTAATCGGAATATTCAGATTTTCGGCTATGTCTTGTTCGCCCAAGAAATGGATGAAGAGAGCAAAAAACAATGACACATCACAAAATGGCTCGACAAAATTGGTTTGGTAGATGAGTAAAAAAAATGTGATCAGAAAAAAAACGGAACAAAAATAAGGGAAAAAGAACACAAAACAAGCATTTTCATATATCTCACATACCCATGTTTCCATTCGAAATGTCTTGTTCTTGGCGACCCCCAAAAACAATGACACGCAGCACCAGCTAAGTAAAAAAAAAAAAACAAAGAGAAAAGAGAGAAAAAACGAAATGAAATCATATAAAACATTTATGGCATATTTTATGTGACATTTATTTTGTTAAGAATTTGTTTTCGACACAGATAATAAAAAGAAAAACTCTGTCGCACACACACATGCCAATTGAAAATGTGCGGCAAATGCGAGTGAGAAAACTACCGAGATATAGCTACCGAAGATTCAACGCACGAGGCCAAGATAAAGAAAAGAAAAACCCAGACCAAAACTGTTGGAAAGGAAACAATAGAATTCGTTTATATTCATAGAGAGAATATTTGGCGTGTACTGTGCATCTCTCAATTGAACGCGCATTGAATATCAAATCCATTTCATCGCTGATTGCGACAAAAAATCTTTTCGTTTCTTATCGGTCGAATTTTATGATTTTCTTGGCAATGCAAAAAAAGGAGAAATACACCACTTTAATCTGTTGATGGTAAATGCGCGTATGTGATTTATCGGTAATTTCATTTTAAACCAGCTCGTTACGCAAATATCGAAGATATAGCCATTGATTTGCCATCCGAAAAAAGAAATCCAATCGATGCCACTTTTTACTTCAATTCACCACTCAAACCCCTATCATTCAAACAGAGAGAACAGATTTCATGGCGAAGCGTTTCATTCGCTTTTATCAACTTTTCTAAGTGCTGAGCTTTGAGATATCAAAGCGAAATTTAAACCATTAAGTGTCTCCAAATGACAATAGTTGAGCATTTTTATCGCACAAGTAATTGAGCTGATGCGATAATCTATTCATAATACTTAAGGGAAACATTTTCGTTTCGAACAAAATTCCAAATCGGCTCATAATAATCATCAAAAATGTATGCGCGTTGCTATCAGTTGGTGAGTGTGTGTGTGTGTGTCGTTGCCTTTTTCCGCACTTGATTGAGTCACTGAATGTCAACCACTTTATACACACAAAGCCTTTCCGTTGGTCTGATATGTGGCACTTTAAAAGGATACAACAAATTGCCTGAAATGTAAACTTTCAAATCAGATAAGCGCACAAAAAAATGAAATAAACTGCTACAAAAAACGCTCCAAATATTTTGACGAGTAGAAAAATCCACACGCAAAAAAAATCCGACAAAGAAAATCCTTGAAGTACATTTGAAAATGACACTGTAAATCTCGGCTCTAATTCTCATTCTTTCACTAATTTACTTAATCGTGGCATGGTATGCGTTTTGGGGCGGTGAAATTCCCTAGTCGTTTGGCAAAAAGCGAACGGTCGCCCTTTTTTTTTGAACGTGGCCGACACTCAGACATCCATACACAAATTGAAAATTCCAATGCTTCTCACAGCATTGGCCAAGTTAATTTTGGTTGCGGGCAAAGAAAAGAGAGATGAAATAAGTGTGTTTGTTTACTTGCAATATCATTGAGGACACACTGTTCACAGTACTGTTCATTTGCTAATAGATCTTCTCTTGGGAACTTTCTTTACCTGACTCACATTCTTGCTATTAGTATGCTTCAGTAAATACACTTCTTGTTGCTTATGATGCCATTGTACATGGACTGGCTTCTGTGTGTCGGGGTTGCTCAAGTACTTTGCCAATGGTGTGGCAGAGATATCTCGACAACAACGCCGTCGTCTCCCACTTGTGTTATTAATACGCATTATATGTATTATTTAACGGTAAATATGTTCCAAAACAACATTGAACAATGTAAAGACGGTACCGTTTTGTTTTCTTTGTTGTGTGCGGTTTTAAGCTTCATTTTCTTCTCATCATCTCCTTTGGAACCCCAGCCAAAACGGCAGAAAAAGAGAAAAAAATGTGAAGAAACAAAACGTTCTGCTTGAGTTTTGCATATATATATATTTTTTTAAAGAAAAAGTTAAGTGAAAGCATTTCTCATAATAAGATTGAACTTTCCATCAGTCATTTGGTGTGTTATGCTTCTTCTTCTCTTTGTTGGTTGCCAGCTATTAATGCTAAAGATGTGTATCGAGGGACGAAAGAAGCTGCTATTGTGTGTACGATTTTTATGCGCATATTTACTTATTTAAGGTTTTTATTCTTGTCGTTGGTGTATTTTGGCAATGGTACGATGGGCCACCCTCTCTGACTTTGCTCATCGCAACCATTTGAAAGTGCATGTATCTTTGGCAATAACATATTTTGCTTCTTCTTCTTTTCGCGTCAATTCATATAAAATGCGATTTAGTTGTTTTTCTCGCTCATTCTTCCCGATAGCATGCTTTTCATTTTCAACTTAAAAATTCAACGACAACGATGAAGAAAAAGAAGAAAGCAACAAACTGATAAGAAAATGATGTGTACGCGCGCGAATAAAAATGTAACGAAGTGAGTTGTCGATTGATGGTAACGCGCGCGCCAGCAAATTTTTTTAAGCGTCTCCCCTCCCACCGCAAACACGCACATATATATGTGGCAGAGGAAAAAAAAACCGGAGGGTGCTGATTTGTTCTTTGGATAAAAAAGAACCAACAACGAAGAAGACACTGTAAGCAAGTGTTGGCTGTGTGTGTGTTTATGTGGGAAAAGCAATTTCATCGTTTGCTAAACGTTTTTATCGCTTAACAGAGATTTCTTCGTTATTTTTTTTTATTTTCTTCTTTCGTTCGCCCCGGTTGGCATTGCTTTTGTTTTTGTTGTTACAAATTTAATATCTCACTTTTTTTGTCTTCATCTTCATCTTATCGCATATTAAAAGCAACAACAATAAAACGTGCCAGCAGCAGTGAAAATGGCAACGATTTTTTATTCTCTCTTCAAACGACCAACGTCGTGTCAAGGATATTGAAAAAAAAAGAGACAAAGATGGGGTGGAGGAAAAAAAAACAATATGATAAAACATTATGAACTCCAAATCCGTCACACGTTCGACAAATGAGCTATGAATGAAGAAATCTATTTTAATTTTACTAAGTGCTCGCTGGTGGTTTTTCCCACAATATTTCTTCCCAACATACAATAATCGTTTAAATAAATTAACCATCTTCAATTTCAAGTGGATTTTCATTTTCAATCAAGCGCATTTCATTTAATCGAATGACAAAAGACTTTTATTCTATTTTACGTTAGTTTCAATTTCGTCAATCACTTAAATTTCGTGCGATTTATTTATTTTTCGATTAATTTTTGTTTCACACTTATTTCTATTCGTCTCACTCGAGTTTGCCATTTAAAAAATGGCATTTTCACATCAACATTTTTTTCCATTATAATTTTCCAATTTTCGCATTTTACATTATTTATATTCTATACATCCCATACCTTTCAACCATTCACATAATTGATGATAAATTAATGTAAATAGTCTAAAATCACATTTGCAAACAATAATTACAATAATAGTAATATATATCAAAATGCGGCGAAAAATATTTATTGTTGCTTTTTATGGTCGATTTTGTTGTTGTTGTTAATGGAATTTCTGTTATTTTTGGCTTTTAGTTGTGCAGTTCGCATTGTCGACATGACATCGGTTGCGGTGTACAGCCAGCTAACCTGTACGAAATGCAAAAATCAAATTTACCCAAATGCATAATTACATATTCAATTACAAATTTGCTTGTATATTTTGCATTTTATGCGAATCCATTCACACCACTGTGCACACGTACAATCATTAGCATACAGTTGAGTAGTATTGGCATTGAGAATACCGTTGATATGAATAGCCCGTCGTTATCGATTTGTTGACGCGAAAATAGCCGCGAATGCTTTGCGGCTTCATTTATCTTCTCTGACATAAACACTGCAAGCACTGAAAATGAAAAGAGAGAGAGAGAAGCGGTTGAGGAGAGAAATACAGAGAAAGTTTTAAAATTGCAAGTGAGAAACAAAAACAACGATAAAATCAAAACACATAGACACGAAACAATTTCAATTTCTTAGACTGTGTTTATCGTGCGCATGTAGCGTACTGTGTTTATCGCGTTGACCTTTTAGGTTAATAAAATACACAAAGTGGAAAAGTGCCACTTACGTGAATACAGATTTAATAACAAAATTGTATATTTCGCCAATGTATGAGTGTGACAAACGGTGTGTTTTGTGTGTCTTTTTGCCGTCATTGGTGTCATACTTACACATTACGAAAAAGATAATCATTTGGAATAATGAGTGCTTTCGTGTCATTGCTGTTATACTAATTATCACCACATGTGAAATCAATAGTAGGATAAGCCATGGATCATACCAATCAATCTAGAAAGAAAAAAACAAACGGATGTTATATTGAAAATATCGATTTTGATGGGGAAAAACACCGCACAATGATATGCAAGGGGATTTTAAAATATTAATTTCACTGTAAAAATCGATTGCACCGTACTGTCTTTAAGTAGGACCCAAAATCCACTATATCCGAACTGTTGATAAAAGTATCTTCGTCCATTTAAAGACAATTAAAAAAATACTTTCAAAATTGACGGTTGATGTCTCTTTTCCAAATTGAACTTTTAAATTATCAATTCGATTGAAAATATCACACAAATCCAGACGAAAAAAAAAAACAGTATGTCTGTTCACTTGCAATCACAATTGTCATCTGTTGCCATTTACGCTCATTGTTTATTTACAATTGCTTGCGTTGTGGATGGCAAGCGCACATACGTTTTGACATTTCAGCATGAACTTCGGTTCGCTTATCGCCTGTCACCGCGTACGATAAATTCAATTGTCATTTTGAGCAATTTAAAAATGACACACTCGAACGATCCAATCAGTCGAGAATAAAAGTAACCAGCCGTTAAAAAAGGAAGCCCAGCAATTAACTCTGTCTCCTTTAAAAATGCACTACATTATGTTTGGATTTTTGTAAACTATTTTAGTCGATACTTATTTCGAATTTAGTTGAGAATTTTAATAGTGCATTGAGAAATATCTAAAAAAAAATCAAATTTGTCTCAAAAAATAAATTTTTACTGTGAATCACTATTAAGATTCAGTTTTATTGCAACACAGAACCAGCGATGAGTACTTTTGACTAATTATAGCTGTACGATTTTTTTATTTTACTTAATTTTATTTATTTTCAATCTCTTTTCAAAATGTTGAGGAAAAATAATATTTATTTCATTATATCTAGTTTAAGTGAAAAGAGATCTTCACTTTCAAAAATGTATCCCATTTTGTAAAGGAATATCAAATCCACTCTTCCTAAGAGTCCAAATTATTCTAATAAGGAACCAGATCTTTACCTTTTACATATGTTCGTAATCTCATTCACTCAAAGAACATTTTACGCATTTGTGTTTCTTTTCGTCAGCCTTGGTGTCATGCTCACATAATACCGAAAAGATATACATTTAAAATAACGTAAAAAAGTGAAAAAAATATTCACTTACCTCGTCATTTGTATCTTGCCTTCGTATTCACGCTAATTCTTTATTTATCATTACTTGCGTTTTGAGTGGTGACGTTTTGACATTGCAGCATGTGCTTCGGTTCGCTTATCGCTTATCAACCCATCGCTTGTTACGCTTGCCATTCGCGTACAGTAATTTTCAATTGTCATTTTGAACAATTTGAAAAAACATGCTTGAACGTTTCAATCAAGAGGTACACCAAAGTCAGTCGCGAACAAAAGCAACTAGCCGCTAATAAAAAGGAAGCACATATTTTTCGTTTGACCAAAACATGTATAATACTCATCAGATTAACTTTTATTTTGTATCTCAGCGAATCGTAATTACAAAATCGTAAACACGGCTATCTTGTTCGTTGAGCGTTTGCGAATATATTGTGTTGAAGCATGTTCATGTTTATACGAAAATATAGTTTGACGGAAAATGTGTGTTGTGTTTGTGTCGAAATGAAATGTCGAGCGCCAAAGCTATCTAGAATTAAAAAACTTTTCTCATTTCGGTGTATTCGACTATTTTATTATGCTTGGGCTGTCGTTAGTGTACTCAATATTCTCTGGGTTTAGTTTTGTCTCAGTTCTATGCTGCTCTTCGTGCTTTCGTCGTTGGTGTAGTCATATTATATTGCCACGTTCTCGTTCACCTTGTTGTTAGAAATATCTGAAACGACTCTCCCTCATTCTCTCACCTTTGCTTTATTAACTCTATCACCTCGTCGAAGAATTAGATTCAAAGTTCATACATAAAACTCGGCAAATCTAATTCCTTCTACTGCTACAACTTCTTTTTCTTCGTCAGCAGTAGTTATGCGAAAGATGGTGGGAGTGTAGATGAAAAGAAAAAAGTAGAAGAACACTTCGGTTATTTGTGGCCCATATTCTTATGCACATCGAGTGCTTTTGAGCACCTGATTCCATTTCGCACGCAGAAAAAAAAAATTATGTGTATTTCAAAATAAGTTTTTACTTGTGTGTCTTTTTTCGATATGCTTACGACGAAAACCTCATTTGCAGTAGCCGCATGCAGAGCTTAAGCATGTTATTGATGTTGCTGTTGTTGTTTTTGTTTGAATGACTTATTATATTTATGATGCTGCCATAGTTATTAATAACAACATGGCTAAACTTTCCTCGCTTTCTTGCAAATATTTCCACATCGAAACCGTATTAACCAATTTCTTTGTTTCAATTTAAATCCGAATGCTTGGCAACAAATGAAGTGGAACAAACAACATTTAAATGGAGCGCACGAAGGAGAAATAAAATTATTGTGTCCATAATGAGATCACAAACAGGTTATAGCAAAAGTTTTTCAAATCAAAGAACAACAATACTCTTAAATAAGCGAATGAAGAGGAGAAACCAATGATATGGAAATTCAAATAAAATGAAAATCGGACGCTTTGAAAATGGTGAAAGGGTAAAAGAGCGGATTGAAAAGGTAAAAGAGTCAATTGAAATTTAATTTAAATTGACAACAAAACATATGCAATTAAAGTTTAAAGATCAATAAAAAACGTGCAAATTCAATGCGTTCGAATTTCTTCTGAAGTTATTGGTACAAAGGTAAGAAAGGTTGTATAATTTCAAATTTTCAAAACATCTGGGAGTCTGAGAAAGACTTATGAACAAAACAGGGTCCTTCACATTCAAAATTTCAAACAAAATCTCAATTTCTAGGGGGGTGTAATTTTCAATCTCTTTTCAGGGGCGAGTGACAAAGGACCGGCCCTTATTAAAAGCTATGGTTTGAATAATTTATTTTACCTGATGTAATATTTTTTGTATGCATTTATAATGTATCCATTTTGCTATGCATCTGTTTCATTTACATTTGATCAAATTATGAATTCACTCATATTTGTATAAATTTGAATTTAAAATCCAGAATTATAAAATGCTATATAAGATCTGAATATTGTTTGCTTTTCTCTTTCGTCAATTCATCACACAATGGTTGAATTCAAAACTATTGTGTTTTTATATTTTCTCTGTTTTCACATTGACATGGTATTGAGTTGTAGAGGAAAAAATAGTGTTTTAGATGATTTCGATATAACACCATCAAAACCACAGCCTCCAAGGCCAACAGCAATACCTACCATCAAAAAGCGCACACAACAGCAATGTGAAGAGTATAAAACCGCACTTTTGGCATCATTACCTTCAATGGCAAGAAATGAAGATCCAAACTTCGTTATGACTGGCCAAATTTGCTCTGACGGTTTGGGCAGTTTATACGAGGCGTAAGTGATTTAAAATTCCGAATTTCATTCGAAAAATGGATGAAAATGATTTTTATGCACATCTTCTATCTCAGAAAATCTGATGGAAAAATGGCCGTTTATGAAGTGTGCTTTAATGACAAAACATCGAGTGCCATTTACACTATTCACACTCTTGATATGAGAGCTGGTATGGTCATTTTTGGTTATATTTTCTCAACATTTTCATAAAATGGTAATTTGTTTTTGTTCAATTTGTGGTGCGTAGACGATGAAAAAATGAAACACAATAGTTTTCTAGTGAGGTACACATTTTGTGGTTCAAAAGTTAACGATTACTACAATTCGAATAGCCAATCGAATATATTTGATGGAATATTCGGCAATGGAGTGATTACGAATTCGGACATAAAACTAACGCAATATTTTTCGCGAAATCATTTGGTGCCACATGCTGATTTTCCGTCGGCTGAATTTAAAAAATTGACCTACTACTTTCATAATTCATTTCCAGGTAAAGCCAACATATTTTGTTTAGCATTTTTGAATATATTTGTCTACTTTTTCTTATAAATAGGCTATCAATCAATCAATGTGAAAGTAAGATACAAACGTTTTCTTTTTAAAAATGTCTGAAATATAAACCGAATTCCCTTTAGAATTGGCGTAAACTAGAGGGATATGTACGTGATATTGCACGAGATATGAACATGATACTTGAGGTTGTCACTGGCATTTACAAAATAATGAAAAAGAAGTCGAAATCTGGAAATATGATGGATATTTATTTGGATATGGGTGATGGTGAAAACAAAGATCGTCGTCGATTTGCCGTACCTGCTGAAGCTTATAAATTGGTGGTTGATAAAAAGACCAACGCCAGTTTGGCATTTATCACGTCGTTTGATAGGAATTTGAGCGCTAGTGGTGTAACAAATTTTTCGAAAATTTGCAATGTCAATTGCCAGGATCTTGGTTATAATTTCGATTCAGACTCAAATGCCGGCTACACGATTTGCTGTACTTATGACGAACTCCAAAAATATATTAAATTACGATTACCCGTTAAATTGATGAAAACATCCATTTTACGCAACACAAATCAAAGAAGATCAAGTTCACCGCCGAAAAAAGCACAAAGTCCGGAAAATCTTAGGGGTAAAAAAGAGTCGTCGCCTAGGAAACGAAGATCTCCATGAAAAAAATAAATAAAAAAGAACTTTTTCACAAAAATAAAACACTTTCTTCAATTTATATCATTTAAAAATGTTTCATTGTTTCTCAATGAAATGCAAGAAAAAAGAGGAAAAGGGGCAAAGCATCACAACAAAATTGATTAACTAAATCGCATGAAACGAGTCTTTGAAAACCACATCGAACGAATGCATGCCAAAGCATTGACATTTTACAAATTGGCCCAAAGGTCGTTGGCTCATTGAACTTGGAGTCCATTCTCGTTTTCATGAAGTACCACATTTCGTATGTGCATGTAAAATTTATTCATGACTTAAAAAGTCAAACTTTCTCGTAAAGTCGTTCGATCTATGCACTTCATTCCCTGAAAGCACACATTTGCATCCTTCTTCCATTTTCACCGCAATTTTTGTTTCTGGTCTTCTCTCTCCGCATACATGTCAGACTTAATTTTATGTTCACATCTGTGAAGGGCCAAAGATCAAAATTCATATGAATTTATCCAAGATGTGTGCTTTTTGTGAGTGTGTGCTCGCGCGCGCCTGTGCATATACATTGAATGCGAGCCTGTGAACACATTTGTCACATGTGGACCACAGTCAACCACACATAAATCTTTCATTGCGCTCTCAAAGCATGAGCAACGTTTTTGCTGCAAAAAGGAAACGGTGGCAATAACTCCGAACTATCGAACAAGCAGAGGCAGACAATGATACGCTTATTAAAACATCATTAGCAATAGACACATTCATTTGTTCACGCATCTCATTCCTTATGTTTTTTGACTTGCATCAGAACCACATTTGAGCGTTATATGTGGAACGATAGTCAACAATCCACATATACATGTGTTACCAAACCCTATCCGACCACCGTCACATTTCACTATAACTACGGCAACTAGAAAATTAACTAGCGACTAGCAAGTGCATTGAACCAAGTGTCACGGTGCAATTTTGGATGCATCAACAAATGATGAACAAAATAAACTCTTCGTCTAAAATATAGCACATAGATTTTACATTCGAACGCAACGGATGAAACACATAGGAAAATTAGACACTCATTGTATTGTTATCAAAATTGAAGTTTTGTTAAAAGCGACCAAGCTTGTGAAATCTACATAAGCCAAATGCATCGTCACATTGCTTACGTAGTGCACGGTAAATGAAAAACAACTACAATTAAGTTTAAATAAACTATTTGAACATTTCATTTTTATTTCCATATTTAAATGGTTGGTTTTTTTCTCTCTTTTTTTGTGAATGAATTAATCCAAATTTTCAATTAAAAATAAATCACAAAAACGTTTTTGAGTTCGATGTAATTTTTCCATGAAACTATCCGCACAAACCACAAATCAAGTGGAAAGCTTGAAAACGAATCTATTGCATAATTACTCGTCGACGATGTATTGCCTCCCATAAATACTGAAATCTATACTTATTCACTTATGCACAGAAAGAGAAAGAGAGAGCGGACAGAGACATAGAAATGGATAGTGCAAATGAGTGGAAGAATGAGATAGCAACAGATGAAGTTCAAGTGGTCATTAAATGCAAGAGTAAATAAAGATGTCACGATTTCCACAGTGTTTGACAACAATAAACATTGAGTCAATGAGTGGTATTTGCTTTGTGTTATTGCTGTCGGCAAGCAAAAGTCGACATGGTCAATATTGTGTTGGTATGTGTGCGTGTATGTGCACGCATCATACTAAATTCCATTACATCCAGTATTAATAACATCGTATTAAAACGACATGGATATGTGTGTGGTGTGCGGCCGGGAGAACAAGTTAATTTTGTTACGGCCAACAGCAGTACTTGCCATTCAAACTCTTATCACATCTTGTTATACAGGCATAAACTTCTAATTAGAAGTGATCGGATTTGTTGCGTCTCTCTCCTCATTTATAATCTTTATTTCTCTCTTAATTATAGAGACAATGTATTTTTGTGCATTTTCCATTGAATAGTTTCAATGTCATGCTTTGTTGTGTAGCCACACGCATCTGTTCCACCTCATTTACTTCGGGAATGATTTGGAATTATGTACATCTGCTTAATATTTTTATAGAAAAACATTCATGTGAAGCACAAAGCATTATTATCATAATGAACCGACGGATAAAACATAAATAGCCGGGATAATGGGACAATGGGCGCTATGCCATTATTATTTGTAATTTTCTCTAATTGATATGCTTTAATAGAATTTAGACCTTTATTGTTGGCTCATTATTTGGTCAGAGTGACTTTGGCACGCCAAATTCTGAGAAATAAAGCATAAACTTCAAAACAGTCAATCCAAAACAATGGATTAGCAATAAAATACTATCTAGGAAGATTATTTAAATCAAAATTCAGTCCGTTGTTCGGTTTCCTTTCAATTTTTAGTAATTTCGTTCTCTCAAAAACACGTCGATATCAAACATTTTCAAAAACCAAATTCAAATGAAAAATTAATTTAAATTTGTCATTCAATTTGCACTGAAATTGGAAACAATTTCTGAATTCCAATGTTTTCACGAAAAATGTCTCCATTGAGGTTTTTCATATTCGAACAAATGAACAACTGAATTTTCATTGGATTCATTTGAACAAGCTTAAACTTTATATTCTAATTTTGAAATTTTGAGAGAGAAAGAGAGAGGTCAATGCATGAATATTTTGTTCAATGTGAAAAGTATGTAGAAAAGCGTACATTTTATGGGTTCTTTTGTTCCATGGCTTTTGGTTTTGTGCAATTAGTTTGTGTATGCTCTACATAGATGAATTTAAATGAATTGAATGTAATATTACTGTTTAGCAGATCATGATGAATGTAAAGAGCGACACTGAAATGTGGTGCACCATATGGTATATTCTTTGGTGTGGCGTTGTCTATAGAGCGAGATTTGTAAAGCGTGAAAAAGGTACACATGCACACACAAAGAAAATCTGATAAGTTTAGCGTACAGAAATTTAAGACAAAAACAAGAGAATAAAAGTGTAATAATTTGGGAACATTCTGTTGTCTTCTGAGTTCCTTTCCATCTTTTCGTCATCGATATTCTATCAGTAGTTTGCGACGGAGGAGTAGAGCGGGTTTAACCTCCCTCCTCCTGGCCTTTGGAAATTTCTCCAGATTTTACCAGATTTTCTAAATCCATCCACTCTTGAAATTCGATCTCGCACACTACTGATTTCTACACCTTCAAAGTGTTCTCCAAAATTTTAGTCAAATGAAAGAGAGAAAATAAAGTGTGTATGTGTGCGTTTGAATAGAAACCCTTACAATTGCAGTGAAATTGAAAATATCAAAGTAAAACCGGTAAATCGACTAAAACATGTAATGCGATGGAAAGCACTGTGGCCATTATGCAAAGTGGTATTGCATTACGTTTCTTTTGATGAAACCAGCTTTTGCAATGGAGTTCCAACCAAAAACAATAGATTCGAATAAATGTCATTGCTTATTGGTTACACATATCAAGACATTCTGTTGGCTGTTTATACATGCCCCGTTAACTGATATGTCATTGATGATATCCGAATAATGTTGATATTTATGACAATTGTCGAAATGGATTTAATGGATTTCGGTTTTGTAGTTAATTGTTCGAAATGTTTAAATCGGTCAGTAAGCGGGATGCCAGAGGAGTGTCAGAAAGAGCAATCGAACGATGCTCTGTATGTCTTCTATTGTTTTCATTAAAACTACACACGAAATTGAATAAATTATGTGTTGTTCGTGTTCTCTCTCTCTTCCTCTCTCTCGTTGCCAATTTTATCGATGACATCGATTGTCACTTTAAATCATAGAGCCAATTCGACCATTGTCAATTTGGCCGAAGATTTGCATACCAAGCGTATAATCGATGTATTCCTGATGTTGACATTCTAGAGAATTTGATGCATGCGACAACCAAAACAATAGTATCGATCATCTCAAAACAAAATCGGCTTTGATACCAAACGCCTAAGCAAATCCTTCCGGTGTTGAAGGCATATACAACTCGTCGAAATGTTGTGAATAATAAGAAGGATTTTACATTGAAAATACCCACAAAACAGACAATTACGAATCATTATTTATTAACCACAGGAGGTGTAGTACACTTTAATTCGTTGTACGTACCATTGTCCGAATCATCGCTGCCAACTTGAACAAGGACACCCTTGGAATTTGTTTGGATTTTCATTAAACATCGTCAAACATCAGCAGCAGAAGAATTTTCGAATAAAAACGGGGGGCAAGCTATTTAACAAGTCTCTATTATTTATTAAAAGCGCAGCTTGTGATTGCTTCTTAAATGTGATGATTTTGTGTACCAATTCAAAAGTGTTATCGATGACTATTCATGGGGATTTGTGCGGTTGCTCGGTGCTGACATTTGCATATTTATTTATGACATGCTAAGCTCATAACAATCCCATCCAATAAATTAATATATATATATATAACCAACCATCAGTCGTAGTTGTACACGTGCATTTTTCACAACATTTCACATAATCTCGATTTCTAATGAACAGCGACTACACGTGCCGTATCTAGATGATGAAGTGTATTGTGTTTTTGGATTTAATTGCATATGCGCACAAATTAATTTCAATATTTAGTTTTTCGAGAAAAAAGAAAACTATTGACTCCATTGTACGCTGCACTCGTATGAATTCTTTATTTGACTTACGTCAGCATCATCGTCCATTGACAACATGCTGATTTGTGATTTATTCAAACAATCCGAACAACAACAAGATGCCATACATACATATATCGATAAACACGCAATACGATCGGCTGGTGTTTTCCAATATATGATTAATTATCAATTAAATCCATGAACAAATCATTGCCGAACATAAATTGTTTGCATTCAATCATATGTAAACCCGCACAAAATGGTAAACAGGTAGATTTGTAGAATTTATAATACCAGTAGTGCATGTGGTATTTTTTTCACAACCAAAATCAAACAATCATCCTCCCGAAAATGCCAAATCAAAAGTATGGCGGTGTTTGGCTAACAATGGGCCATGTTAAATTGAAAATTTTACTCATTACATGAGATGATTGT